GTTGAGGAGCAAGGGAGAACGTTGCTCGACTTACTGATGTTTTGGACCTCATTGCCATAACTAAACACAGTTTGCTATCCATGACTACCCTAGATTTACAACTAGCCAGTGTCTTCCTAGAGACTCCCGTGAGGATGGAAGCCCCAGCTCTGCCGTGTGGCAAAGCTGAACACCTCCTCCTCTGGGTCGTCCACTGGGAGCAGTGGTGGTGTGCACAGCTCCTCCAGCTCCCCACCTAGAGATGACCTCAATAAAGGAATTAAAAAGCAGCTGGTCTTGTTGCTTGTTCTTTTCTGTACCAGCAAAGATTTGTGGGACATTAGCCAATATAAGATATGTGGGATGTATCTTATTGGGACAGAAAGACTTTGGCTCTTTCAGTTCTCTATTGTGTTTAAGACAATATGCTATGTGCCCAGATGGAAAAAAGCTGTAATGTGAAAGTTTTTGAAAATGTATTGTAAAGTTTTTCAAATATATTTGCCTGATGGCAAATAATGCAAGTTCTTTCAAAGTTTTGTTTGCTCCTTGTCTTGCCAAGTGAGACATCTGAGCTATGGGCTGTGTGATCCTTCAGCGGAACTCCTTGGTAGCAGAAGCATGAGGACAGGCACCTGTGTTTGAAACACATCAAACCAGTGGTTTTCTAAGGGTATTCACATGAAACACAACCTGACAGGTTTTCATCTCCTTTGACTTCATGACTTTGTGTGGTAATTTACCTTGTAAAATTTAACTTTCTTTTAATACAATTTGTTCAAACCTCTAAGGTACGTGGGCATCTCTGGGCTGCCTTTGATGTTTTTGAGACACTTATCTTTTGCTACAAAGCAAAAAAAAATAGCAAAAATATTTCAATTTATATGCTTATTATTATCATAGGAGACAGTAGCTCTAGGCATGGCACAAACTGCTGCTTTATTTGAATACAGCAGAAGTCCAGAAAATTTACAACGAAATATGAAGCTCAAGACAATGGGAAAATACATAAAGCAGCACAATAATACTGTGTCATCACTGGCCCAAGCCAGACTCTTGGTGACTGTTGTCAGGTGTTCTCAATGTTCAGTACGTTGGCTGAGTAGTTGCACATCTTGTAAACATTAACAGAGAAAGGAGGAATTGGTAGGAAAGTCCATGGTTGATAGCTGATAGTAAAATTGGATTGTCCAACCAGGGAATGTCACTCCTAAGACTTACAAAATGGTAATGTAATCTCAGTTCCAAGGATGTATTAGGAATGAAGAAACCCCAGAGCAGAGTTGTCTTTAATCTCTTCAAAAGCTGGAGCACAAGCTTGCATAAGTCAGTGGTTGTATTTAAAGTCTTTGGTCTGGTTCTTTACATGCAGCTGGTGCTTTACAACAGAGATTCACATTTATAGCAGCTGCTTTTCCTTTTAAAACCTTGCTCAGTTTTACAACCCCTTTGAATGGATTTCGTCAATCTGTGAGTGGGACAAGGCTCAAGGGAGCTGTGTAAAGGAATGCTTCAGTAGATGGCACTCTCCCTCTGAAGGAGGATGGGCAAATACCTCAGCCAAGGAATTAGATGCAGTTGAGAACAGCTTCCTTTATACTCAACAGAAATCACAGTGAATGGCAGATTTTCACAAATCTGGATGTATCAAGTCCTCACATCTGGCTTCCTCCCTGCTTGAATGACTGTAGTCTGTTTATATTCAGCTGAACTCCTGAATTCATAACAGTGAACACACACATGGATACACACATGTATTTTTTATATATTATTTCTATATTTATATATATGTGTATATATTTTGTATCTAGACATGTATACACATATATATACATATGTGTGTATATATATATATATATATATATTAAAAAGCTCAGTGGTAATCTAAATTGTAGACATCAGACTCAGAGTTTACAATTGTTCTGCTTTCCCAATTTTTTTTTTTTTTTCAAATTCTGTATTTTATTCTATTATTCTGTTAATGTTAGGTCCATTTTGAGAACTTAAGTCCTTTGATTTATTGTTAGTTTTCTGTTGGTATTTTATAGTCACAGAATTTCATTGATCCAGTTTAAAAAGTACTGCTTTAGTACAAGTGAGGAGGCCTCAACTGCAGGTATGGGGACAGCAAAGACCTGCTGGGCCTTAGGGAAGCTAAAACCTTTTGGGTCAAATCTGTTGTTAAACAAGCAGCATTGTACAGCCATCATACATCTTTCTAAATTGTACAGTGCTTTCCTCACCCTTGAACAGGAAAGTGAGAGAAGAATATGAAAGAAATGTGTATAAGACAAAGCTGCAATAAAAAAATTACATGGGACAAATTTATAAAATGCAAATTTAATTAGTTCAATTTCTTAGGATTTTGGATTCTTGAGTAATGTAAAATCTTTCAATTTACTGCTTTTTAAGCTTTTAAGTATGGTTTTTCTTATTTGACTGGCACAGGAGTCAAATAAGACTACACAAGTTCTCAGTCACTACCTCTCCCCTACATTTTGCAAAAATCCTTTTCCCATTGATTAAAACCACAGAGATAACAGTATTTTTAAAATCCAGACCTAGGAGCTAAAATTTTACTACCATAGCTCAAATAAAGTTGACCTTTTTTTCCCCCAATATTTATGTCAGAGCCTGAGGGTGTTTGGGGGCTTGATAACATAAAGAGGTCCCAGGGCACGCATGAAAGAGGAGTAGAAGGATTATTTGTGTACATCTTTCCAGTGACAGTCAACTCTTGAGCAATCAAAAATTATGCACCATTGAAAACTGGATAAAAGAATTTCTGTTAAAAGGAAAGCAGTTCAAATGCTGCATAAGAATGTATAAGTGTATTTTTAAATGTGTTTTTTACATTTTCTATTTTTGAGTCAAAACAAAACAACCTACTATGAGTAGGTGCTTAAGGGACTGTGCCCAAAAGCAGTATTTTCTGTCATTTGCAGAGAAGCTATACTCCAGATTAAAAGCTGGACCAGTGGAAGCTTTCTATAGGAAGTACTATTTATGGGTTCATATTTATATGAATTTATATGAACCCATTTTATATGGGTTCCTATTTATGGGTTCAGCATTAATCTATTTTTTTGGGAAATAGATTTAAACTTCCAAATGCATTTTATACAGAATTCCAAACAGCCTCCACACAGTAAGGTTACTGCTTGGAAGCTCTTTTGCACAGAAACTGAATGGAAATGGTTTGGAGAGGCTTTTTTAACACTCTACGAAGTACTGGATTTTTTTTTTTTCCCTTTGGAGACAAAAATCAAGATGTTGAGTGTAGGACATTTACTATTTGAGGCATTTTCTGTACAAGGATAAAAGCAAAAATAGTCTAACATTATTATGCTACTATTTTTTTCCTCTTCTGCAAATTTGAGCTGACATTTTATTCAATTAATAAGGAAATCTATCAAGGTCAAGAAACCAATCAAAAACATTTGATTTATAGTTTCAACCTTTACATTTATAGAGCTGTTGTGATTTCAGAGTATTTTTGAAGATCCACAAACCAGCCTTTTGCACTGGCTTTCAAATAGTTGTTTCAAATCAAAGAACAATTGCCTGACTGAGTCATCAAACTATGTATCAAGACACCTGAGTTTTATGCCTACAGGCAAATTATAGCCTAATTTTTAGGTGTCATGCACTTCATTAACTCCCACTTATCTAAAGCAGTTGCAAGAGCTTGGCACCTCTGAAACTTGTTTTTAAACCATTTTGGGAATATCTTCTTTACAGATGAGCTGGAGAACTCTTTTAGTGTTCACAATACATTTGAAATGTTTAGTAAGAGCATTACAGAAATGCAGTCATTACTAGCAAATGTTTCATTGAAGCAGTCCTGTTGTTTTCTCATCTCAGTGCAGTACAGTTCAAGTTATCTTTGGAGAACCTCACAATTAAACATTACAGTTTATTAGACAGAACAGAGCAAGAGACAGAAGGAGCATGTGATGGATAACAGTCTTTTAGAATGAAAGCTGAAGGGTGGAAGATGATGAGTGAAGGTGAAGAGCAAGTGGTGGCAGAAGTAGGACCTGGCAATCAGATGGGTTCCCTCTTCTTTAGAAGACCCCTACTGAAAGGATCCAGAAAACATGTTGAGAAAATAGACATCCTGCTTTTGATAACATTCAGAAGCCAGACAGAGATCAGAACTCAGTGGGTTTGCAGAGCTGGTAAAGGAAGTAGCCAGAAAAATCAAAGTCCCAATTCTTTGTAATGAATTGCGTTATGTATTAGAAGTGTCATATATTTTGTTTTACCAGTGTAGGTAGGCTGATTTGTGACAAGTAGTATTTGTGATTAGGAAAATTACATCAAGAGAAAAAACAGCAGTGGTTGGATAGACCAGAGGAATTTGGGTGAGTCTGTGAATGAGTGTTTGGAGATGGGTGCAGAACAAAGGGTTGATTTTCAAACATGATTTATTTAGAAAATAAAGATTTATTAAAGGACAGAGGCAATAACTTACTAATAAATGTATCAAATGCAATAGTTAAAATAAATCCACCAAATCTATGAATAAGAAGTTAATAAAAGTGATTAACTTGCAGTAGACCTGTACCTACAGGATCCCTAATTAAGGTGACCATAAATCAAACCAGTTTTTACTGGAATCCTCAATATCACAAATACCACCTCATTCTACAAGGATAAAACCAGGGTGGTTTGTAAAGCTCTTCAGCCAAGGATGAGCACATGCACCAGACTGGTGAATTAAGCATAAGGAGAACTGAACATTTTCCTTTTACATCTTTCTGCATGAAAACCACACATAATTTTTGCATCCTCCCATTGCTAACTTATCCAGCCCACTCAGCAGGACTGGCTTGACAGGAAGAAAACAGTGCTAAATTCATTTGGCCACTGTCTCTTTTTTTTTTCCCCCCACTCCAGTTTTCTATTCTTGCTGATTTGCAAAGTCTCAGGTGACTGAGTTATGAGTTGTTTGTCCAACAGCTCCTTTGTTCTGATCTGTGCTTCAGCAAAAACTGGAAAAACCTGTTCACTTACTCTTTTTTTTTTTTTTTAATCTTCCTCACTCCAATTGGTAGCTGCAGCTTGCACACATGCAGACAAGGTGGTGCCTACCTTTCATGTGGAAAGCTGCCTTACAAAAACATCTGAGGTTGCATTTCCCATTATCCCAGTTTTTCTAGCCTCATACAGACTTTGGTAGATGCTCCATGACCTAAACTCCATTTGCTCTCCATGAAATCTGTTTATGTTGTTATCTTATTTTTCTTCAAGCAAAAGAAAGGTGTGTCTCCAGTGCAATCATTTTAAATAATAATTTATGAACTCTAGGAGATCTGCAGAAACCAGCCTTGTGAAATGTACTTTTTTGGACACAGAAGTCTATCTGTCTAACAGCATCTGCACATGATGTGGTGTTAATATCTGTAAGACAGAACAAACAGCTAGGAGACAAGCTAAAGCTGCAAAAAGCAGACAATTTGAGAAGAAACTTTTGTTTCCATCTCCTTCCTTTTCTTCTTGCTTTCTGCTGCTGTTGGAACAAGAATGGGTCAGCTATGTGGACGATGCATGCAGCTCCTGCGGGACTTCATAGGCTTTGTTCAGAGGATGTCCTCTGACTTGGTGCAAAGCATCAAGGAATGCTTAACTCTGATAAGCAAATGCTCCTGCTTAAAACAAAACAGCTCTAAAAGCAGACAGCTGTACAAGCCCATCCTACAGCCTCATGAGAGAGTGACAGCACAGGAGTTTCTGCAGCATATTGAAACAGGTAAGAGGACTTGCCTTTTTCTAAAAGATTGTGAAAGAACAAGGAGATTAATTTTGTGGGTTGAAAGCACATTGCTAGCTGATCTGCTCTGCCATAGCATTGAGCAGCTTGGTGATGATGAGGAAAGGGCTGAGCTACAGAGCATTTTCTTTGTGTCCAGGACACCAAGGGCTCAAGTGGTGCAACAGTTGGATCTAGGTAGAAATGGCCAATCACTCTCTCACTCTGCCACTACTGTTAATACAAAACTCATGTAAATGTGTTTCATAAAAGTGAGTCCTTCTAGAAGTTACTTTTTTGAAGTCAGTCAAAAGGAACTGATAAAGCTGGACAGGGGCTTTGCTAAGACTGGAGGCTGTATGAGTGCTGAGGTGTGGGCAGATCACAGTATGATGTGCACAGTTGTGCACCTCTGTGTTGGCTGAACACTGGGACTTATGCTAGAAATGTCTGGACTATACATGGGGAACATCAAAGTCACCCTGGGAAAAGCATCGTTGAGCTCTCAGGATTCCTAGCAACTGTGCTTTTGTGAAAACATTTGAGACATCAGGCTTAATCACAATCATGGGGTTCTGCAAAGTAGATCCATAATTCTTCATCTATCTCCTTTGCTTTACAGGTTAGCTGCCTAATTCCCCTGCTTTTCTGTTTGTGATGTCCTCTTTGTCCTCTACTAGGATACAATATCAATAGGAAAACTTGTTTTTTTTATTTCACTTCTGCAGTCATCTTGGATGAGTGTATTAATCTAAAAATAGTTCTTATCTCAGGATAAAGGGTTATTGCTTGTTTGGGTTTGTTTTGTCTCACAGCTAATTTGGCATACTGCTTTATGTTTAGCAGCTTTGGGCTAAAACCACTACACAAAAATGCAGTTCCCTACTATCATTTGTGTGAAGGGTGTTGACCTACTATTTCTTTACTTGCCTTTTTGAGAACATGAAATAATCTTGTGAGGGGAACCAGGAGAGAATATTTTGGGGGTGTGACATGATTAATGCTGTTTGACATGATCTGTCATGGAATAATTGCCGTGACTCTGGTTTTTGGGAACATGTGTGAATTAGCCTCAGCTGGTATTAGCCGGTGTCATTATCCAGTGAATGTGGTGGGTCCTGTGCTGCCGATAAGGTTCACTGATTGTTGCACCTTTAGCACTGGTTTAAATCCTGACATTCATACCCAGGATAGGGATATACTTCAGCTTGTTATACAGTGGAGATCTTCCAGGGCTGAATGTTTTCTTCCAAAGGCTAGCATGCTCCTGAATCTATAGGAGTCTGTCTTGGCAGTATCCCTGCACAGTTGTTGGATGAGATGTAATGAAGGGAAAGCCAGAATGACCCCTTGTAGCAGCCACTGGTGCTCCCTGAAAAGACTAAGTGTGTATTTCTTGAGAGATCCTTTCTCTCTGAGATCAGTCTTCAAAAGTCTGGTCTGTCTAGGATCTGTGGGAATTGGGGTACAGCAGCAGGAAGCCTAGAGCTTCTCTGACACCAGCATATAGATGACAATGAGTGTTTTCAGGGAGGTCCCACTGTCCATGACAAGACACATATAGCATCCAGGAAACAGAACCAAGGTTAATTCTCTGAGTGGCCAAATCTCACTGCCTAGAAAACTGGAGGCAGAGAAGCCTCACAAAGAAAACCAAGACACATCGCTCTTACTTTAACACTCACCTGTGTATTTAATTTCAAGAGGGAACAAGCCTATCCTCAGTTTTGAACAAAATATAATAAGCAAAAAGACAGTGTTTGGACAATTTGGGTGCAAGGAGAGACATAATGGTTGATCATCACACTCATCTGTAAGCCAGGGCAGCAAATTTTGATATTCTAAGCAAGTGAAGATTTTGAGTGGTTTCAGCTTTATCACTCTCCCAAACAAAACCACAGATATGTGGAAGAATCAGACAGATTCAGGTTCAGATAGTGAAAGGAACAGAATTAAACCACATGAAGAGATATTTTGGAGGTTTTTTTCTCTAAAACCTTGCACACACAAGCAAGTCCTTCCCTTTGTGTGTATTACTAATTATTTAAAAATTTAATCTTTATATGAAGTAGTTCTGTGAAGCTCACTTACCTAATCCTAAGGGTAGAAGTTTGCTAGTCTTGACAATGTCAGCAGCTTCTACTGGCTTGAGATATTGGATGTGTTTTGCACTGAGGCATGAAAGCTCATGTCCCTCACATCCCTCACATTTCTTTGTCCCATGGGAGGTAAAGTAGCTAGATATTTTTCACAGAGATATTTCAATCATTAATGCACAGCTTTAAACTATTGCCTGAAAATATATCTTAAAATTGCATGCTCCACCAGTTGATCGATCATACATTACCTTTTTAATTCTATTCGTTGTTTCATTGTCCCTTTCATTTTCCTCTCTGCTGCTCCATTCCACATATTATATGATACAGTACCTTACAGAAGCCATGCATGACTGCTATTGCATGATGAGTGTTGTTGAACATCTGGTTTATTCATAGGGGAGCTATCATATTTGAGAACAGGTAGACTCATGCTAGAAATTTGAGCCTGAGGCAAGCCTGTTTGCAGTCTGTGTTGCTATTCCTTTAAATCCTATGTTTCAATACCCAAGACAGGAAACACAGTGAACTTCAGATGTGGTAAATTAGAAATATATACTCTTTCTCTTCTTAGAAATATATATAGAAACACAAACTAAATTAGAAATGTATACTCTTACTAAGAGCACCATGTTCAGTATTTTAACAAAGATTCAGAAAAAGATAAAGATTATTGTGGAGACCAAGAACACTTGTATTTATATTAGCATAAAAGTGTCCAAAGGTTATAATTTATCTTGTTTCCAATCACTAGCTTTGTGAGCTTTACAAGAGGCATTGCCAAGGACAGGTTATTCCCAGTTCATCTATTGCTTCTGCTCATGGAAATGTGAATAAAGACAGATGGGCTTTATGGAGTTGTTGCAGTATAAAAATCCTTATGTGTTTGGTTGGCTGTAAATTTTAATTTCTTTTTTTTTTAAACTAACCCTTTTCAGATGTAATTGAGCCTGTGCTGTTCATTTTACATCTTTAGATTTTGAAATGTCTCCACTTGGAAAGGACCCTCTGGAAGCCTTGAGGACCTTATCCTTTTCAGAAAATCCAGGTTTACAGCAGTCGGCTGCCCTCTATTACTTGCATATGAGTCAGCACAGTAAGTTATCTCAGTAAGCATTAGAAAATTTTCATGTAATTATAAACGAAAATATTATTTCAAACTGTGAAACTCCTTTTGATTCAGTGAGTAAGTGTGTTTTTGCTTTCATGCTATGTTGCTTGCTAAGGAAGATGGAAAACTGGCATTGCCACATAGGCAGAGTCAGTTCTGAGTTTTGCTATGAGATATCTCTTACGATTATAAAAGATTGTTATTTATGAAATTGTTATACTTCTGTAAAACTCAGCAGAACCCAAAGTACTTAGAGTTAGCGTATGTTGAATATCTTGAAAGCAACACAGTCAAAATATGGTGAAAGGAAATGGACACAGTGACCAGTTAATGTTTTATATTATATACAAAAGAGGACAAAGCTCCAGGAGCCAGATTGTAGTGACAATTTATAAAGGAAACATTCTTTTTTGTTCCAGCTATTCTGTGGGAACACCTGGCTCTTGAGGTAGTTTATTAATTGTAGGAATCAGCCTAGATATCCCAAATAAAATGCCAGCAAGAGTTTGGATTCTACAAAAAGGTAAAAATACTACCAACAAGCAGTTTGCAATTTATTTTTCTATTTGTATATTTTAATTTTACTTCAAAGAGAATATTCTGTCACTTGGATGATAGCTTTATCCCACATATTTTTTGCTGGATAAAAAGTGCCTGTAGCCACAATGCAAGGACTTGCTATGAGGCAGAATGACTTGTTTGGTAGCAAGGCACACTGCTTCCCTTCCCATGATGTTTTTGAAGTATTTGATTATTCAAAACCTCTTCAGGAAACTTGCCCTGTTTGCTAGTAGCAGTGGAATTTTGATGAAGGTGAATACCACTCAGCCTGTCTATGGGAGCACCTGAGGTTTAAGTCCCTCAAAGGAAAAATGTCACTGCTGAACAATGGAGCTCATCAATATTTCCTCTCATTCTTGCAGTGAACATCCCCCTGCCTGTGGAGCATCTGGAACCCTTCTATGCCTTACTACGTTCTGCTGACCTGGAGGTGCAGCAGATGTCTTCCTTGTCTCTTGTCAACTTCTTGCTGGAAGGAAATAGTGAGTAATTAACAGCACATCTCTCTTCAGGTGAAGAAGTATCTCTTCAGCCAAACTCACACAGAAGGAGGGCACTTCTAGATAAATCTAGATTCCTTTTTTTGTGTTCCTGATAGGACAAGTGTGAGTCTGATTCTGACTGCAAGATACATAGCTTCTGGTGACAGCAAGATATAGCAGATCCCTCCAGCTAGATTATATAATGTGACAAGAGTTCTTGGATCTGTGTGCAAAGGCTGATAAATTATTCTCAGACCAGTATGGGAATTCTTTTCTCATTCTTGGATCTACAGACATTTTTCCTTTCAAACAATGGATACAGCTCATATAAATAAATTCTATGTACAAGACAGTGGTCATTTTCTGGGTATTTGTGGTCTGGACCTTAGTCTTAAATTGCTTGCAATTTAAGACAAAAAAAAAAAAAAAGTTTAAATGCTTAGTACAGTTCAGTTACTTCTGTAACTAAAGGGGAAAATAGATTTGAGATAGAATCTAGGAGATGCAGAAGAAAAAATTCCCAGTAAAGTTTATGTTGGTAGACAGGGCATGAACATGCCACACCTCAGAAAGAGAGTCCTTGTTGCAACTGCTGCTGCACTCCTGGGCACATGGGCCACAAGTATTCCATCCTGAAGTCCCATAGTAGAAGAAGACAGGGTCAGTCTTCAGCAAAGCTGGCCTTTTTCTTTGCTTTCTTTTTTAAGGATTTTGCTACAAATAGGATCATGTCACTATTTACAAAGAACAGATAGTATTTAAAAGGTAGACCACAGAAGAAAAAGAAAGGATGGGGGGATTTTTTTTTTTGCTGAGTAATTGCTGAGTAAATTGTAAACCTATTGAAAAGCTGCAGTTGCTCTTGCCAAAATTAACCTGATTTGGGACCTTCTGACCTAAAACCTCCAAATATATGTTACACTCTTTCAAGCATCTGAAGGGGAATTAAGCAAACCCAACTAGGGACTGTGAGTGGCTTTCAGGCTGTTTCCATCTTAAGTCTATTTTGTAAAATCATAGTGTGTATCTCCAAAGCAGTCAATGGATGATGTATTCTTTCCACAAAATCAGTAACTGTTTACTTTTTTATTTGCCCATTTTTCTTGAATTTTTGAATAGTTGACAAAGAATTAGTTGTCCAAATGGGTTTACTTGAGCCAATTCTGGATCTGCTTGAGTCAGAGGATCCCACTGTCCAGTGTAATTCCTGTGCCTGCATCATGACTTTGGCTGTTTCAGGTGAGTGTTGTCTTTGCCTTTATCCTCTACTGTGAATTCATTCAACTCTTACATCATATTTTAATATGAAACAGGCTATTTGCAATTGGTTTACGAGTCATAAGATGCAGCAGCAAGTTTTGGTATTCCCGCATCATAAATTCAACCTCCTGACATTCCAGATATTTTTCTCAGTGTTTCTGACCTTCATGCTCTTATGATTACAGACATTTTTCTGATTTTTATCCTAAATGTATTCATGACTAGCTTATCTTAATTATTGTCTACATTGGCTTTTGCTTCTGGAGTTCTGTCTCTCTGATGTGTGTGCTAATGAGGTTCCTTCATTTTACTAGGCTGAGAAAGCCAAGGCCTTTTAAGACTCCTCTTGTAAGTGAGACTCTCCATTCATCTTCAGAGTCCTTCTGGGTGTAAATTATATGCTCCAGGAGTGGAACATTGCATTTGCATGCTATGTTCCGTATCATGATACCCCAGGCCTCAGGCATTGTTACAGTGCCAAGATATAGATAAATGCTGCCAGAATTCTGTTTTGGATTCATCTCTTCTGAAAGTCACCAGAAATGTGCAGTATCTCACCTGGGGTCTCACCTGTGCCTTTTATTGTGGCATGTAAGGAAATATGTTTTGTGGTACATCTCATGGTAACACTTGGCAGGTTTGGTGATTGTGCCATGGTGATGCTGTCATCCTACATCTGACTTAATCACTTAGTCTTGCTCCTCCTCTGCTGCTGTTTCCAGCAGACACCAAGTAACCAAGGCTCTACTGCAAATGTTTCCAAATGCACATCCCTGCATTTTGTACAGGTTTCATTCTGTTTACGTTGTTTCGTTCTTCTAACTTGTCTGTTATTTGTAAAATACTCTGGTCCTCCACTGCATTGACAGTTCTACATCTTTGTTTTAACTCTCTGGTTCAAAGCAAGTACAGACTAGCCCTCATGGAATTCCATTTGTAGCCTCTTCCCAGGTGGTCATTCCCATTCAGCAAAACTTGCTGCCAGTTTGCTTTCAGTGTACTCAGATGGATAACAGTACATGTTATCCATCATGTACTACTTGCATGTGTCACCAACTTCTGCTTAACTATGCATATTTCAATAATGATATTACTATTTTCCTGGTATCCAGACAGGTAAGTTCAGCCACAGTTACCAAAAGAAAGGTTATCATGTTAGTCTGTCTTACTCCACCTTGTAACTCATAGTTTTCCTGTACAAATTGTGTCCAGGTCTGTAGAAAAGCCATGAATAATATTTTTTCCCTTCCTGAAGCATTTATTCTGCCAGCTTCCCTCTCCAGTATGGGAAGTTGCAGTCTGATGTCCCAGAAGGCTGAGGGAAGCATGATGAAAGTGTTAATTTCTCATTTAAGTATTTATGTTGCAAAGGAGGAGTGGATAAACAGGATCCAACCACATGAAAGCGCTGATTTGCATGTTATCCCACCTTTTTGTTTTATTTTTAGGTTTTTGAACGCTCTGCCCTTAAGAGCTTATTTTTAAGTATTGCATGTTATTGTTAGGTTAAGAATTCTACATATTACATTACTTTATATGGAATGCAAATTGCCTCATTTACATGTCTTAATTAGGAGTGGCATCACTAAACTTTTAGGTACTTGGTACTAGAAGGATGGACTTTGTGTAGAGTCAGTGAAGCTAAGCACCTGAAGATTTACAGAGAGATGTCCCTTCATCTGTTTTAAATAGTCTACAGAGAAAGTGATTTATTTGGGCACCTAAGGATGTTACTTAGTCCTGAAGACACTCTTGTCCTTCTAGATGTCTAATCTGGAATACAGGGAACCATCAGCTGCTCCACATCCTGGCTACCTCTGGTCTTCCAATGCCTTTGCACATTCCCTTAAGCACCAATGTCCTTCTGAGCATAAGTATTCCAAATTAAGCATTCAAGGAACTTTCAAAGCTAAACAGAGATTAGGCAGTCCTGCATAGGCTGGACTGCTGCCTGGAATTTGATCAGTGTTGAGGATGTCTGTCCCAGTTTAACTAGGATTTAGATGGCCTGGATCAGTTTATTTGTTTTTCAGACTATATTTAGGTACCACATCAATGAGACTAAAGCAAGAGGCAATTCTCCAGGGTTTATTTTAATTTTAACTCACAGACTCTGATATTTTTAAGTGTCTGCTTGAGAAAAGTATCCTGTTCAGTCATGTCCTTCAAGAAGGCCATTTATGCAAAAAAAGGTAAATATAGAAGCACAACCAAGTTAGGAAGATCCTTTAGATCCTTTAGATGGCTTTAAGTTGACTAAAGTTCTACATCTAAGAATGGTCTTAATTCTGTTGCAACAAGCATGCAAGACTATGTACAGAGTGAAACTGTTTAGCAGTGTTACTGCAGGTCAGGTGTAAACTGGGTTGTCGCCCTGCTGCAATAGGGAGCTGAAAATAAGAAGAGCAAACCAACCCATTCAGATGAAACATATTTGAAGGTTAGTTTGTTCCAACAGCAGCATTTGTCCACGCAGCAAAAGGACGCATGCATAGTTGCAATTATCTGCAGCTTGTCAATCAGTGAGTGAAAGGAATCAGTTTTGAGATAATAACTCAGAGTACTTCAGAACAGAACTAAATGTGCACATCTTCAGTGTTTAGGGGGGGCCTGAACATCTGCTTTAAGCCAGAACAAGGAGGATGCACTGAATGTAAAGCATATTCAAAGTTGTTCTGATGGGAATTTTTAAGCACACAAATGTCAGAGTGGAAAGAAAGAATTTATAAACTAGTGAGTTATTCAAACACAGCTTGAATAGATGTTGTTGATTTCCCCACTTCAGAGTAGCATCTCGAACACATGGCTACCTTCTAAAAGCATTCCAAGGGGCATCAGTGGTTGCAGTGGCATCAGTGGATGGACTGCATTATTTAAGATAAACAGGTGGTCAAGGAGAGAAACACGATCTAGCCTGCCACATCTCTTACAGACATGGCAATACAGTTACACATCTTGGTGAGATAGGTTTCCCCATCCACTCTGTCATCATAAATTGGCAAAACAAGTGTTCAGGCACAATATCTGATTAAAGAAACAATTTGCCCATGTTTTGTCCAATTGTTCGTAATCCCTTTTTTCAAATGTAAGGTTCTTTCCCATGTTCACAAACATTCATGGAGTGTATTGTGTACAAGAATAAGGGAAGCAGCAATAAATAAATTCTTTCTTAATCTTTTTACCTCTCTTTTTTATTCAGCTGGGTAGTTTGCATCACACCAGTTGCCATACAAAAGACTTTCTACTTCCACTGAGGGAAACAAAAGAATGGTATGTAGGCAGATTAGATTAGAGAAGGTCTTGTCTACAGAGGGGCAGAAAATTTTACCAGAATAATAGCTTCCCACATGGAAAAGCTATTTTTAAATATATTACTCTTCTCAGAACAATTCTTTTTCTCAATTTTTTTTTTCCCAGAATAGAAGTTATTTACTTGAGTATATACTCATAGGAAGATGGAAAATTGCTTGCCCTGGAATATTAAACTGATACTATCTGAACTATACTTGAATAAATATCCTGGCTAATCTGTGCATGTCAATTCCCTACTAGATAGGCTCTAGGTATAAAACTAGCAGCTTTGTTCTCATAACTCTCTAAGTTAGTTAGCACCTGAAGACTTGATTTCATTCAAATATCTTTATTTTTACTTTTTTTTTTTGCTCTGTTTCATGTTTCTCTCAGCAAATTTCCACAGACTGGCCATTGCTTAAACTTCATATAAATATTGTTAATTTTACAGAAATAAGTATTATAGTTTTTCCTTTTTTTATCAGTTTTTCATCCAAGAGTCTTAAGGAGTTCTTGTACTCCAGGATGTTGAATACAGCTGTACAACTCATTACATTGCCATGCAAGGAATCACCACCACTTCAGAGAAGCATCATCTTTTCAAATTTCAATGTTTAAATCAAATTCTGTCTTCAGAAACCTTTGCACTGTTTGTAGCTTTCAAGTGAGTCACACAGGGACATTCCAAGAGAGAAGCTGGCCCTGAATATACCCTACTGAATTAATTAAGTCTTACCTTCAGTTCATGATGTAGTTTTTTTGGTTATCACAGATAACCAAAATTATTTGGTTGATCAGACATACCAAGGGTATGAAGCAAGTATGACACTCTGTTAACCTGTTTAAAGGGTCTTAAGGATATTTTGATTATCCTAGTTACAAACCAACAGCATTGAACCAGCTGTGATTTATGGCTAATCCAGAAGTCATGAGTTAGTTTCCTTCCAGTTAAGCTCTCAGAATTGTTAACAGTTTCCTTTGAGCATGCTGAGAAATCAGAGAAAGAAACACCAAAGGACTAGTCCTGCTAGTTGTCCTGCTTGTGGCTCACAGTAAGATTTTAAGTAAGTATTTCTTTCTCTGATTCTTTTCTCCAGGGTCCAACCGAGAAGCTATTGGTGCTGCCAGAGGAGTTACACCCCTGCTGTCCCTTGCCAAGTCCTATGATCCCAGAGTCCAACAAAATGCAGTTGGTGCTATTCTGAACCTCACACAATCAGGTACTTTTGGACTAATGGTTTACCTAAATTGCCAAAAGAAAGCTCACTGATAGAAAAATAATCCTAAAGGTTAAGGCAGGAATAAAAGCGTATCTGAGCAACAAGTTATTTCCTCTCAATATGGCATTCATGTTGGTACCACAGGTTGATGATTTAAGTTTAGCTGATACAGGCCCTCTTTTGCCTTATAGCAAAATAGAAAAGCTTGATTTTCAAATCCAAATTCAAATATTATGAATATTTAAACAATCAGTCAAAGAAATAGAAAAAAACCCCAGCCATTTGTTAAAGAAATAATTTGGCCTAAAAAGTTAGCAGGACATTTGGTGTACTCTAAAGCAATCTCACAAGCTTATCCAACAATGGTGAGCTTTAGGAGCTTTTTGCTTGTTCTGACTAGCTCAATGCTGCAATATGCTAAGTATAACTATCACTGGTCAGACATTAAAGGCTCCTGGAATATCCACCAACAGCTTTATCACAAGGAGTACTAGGTCCTCTGCAATTCTATGTAGACTACCATATTTAACTCGGAAACAAAACTGCATTAAATTTCACTTTCCAAAATGATACCATTATTCCACAGAGCTAAATATTAAAGTCATGAGTTGCTCCATCTCTGAACTCTGTGTTGTGGAAGGAAACAATTGGCAAGAACTTAAACATTTAGCTATTACATTTCTGGTATTATTCAGAATATTTTAAATTGTTTTTAAATAACACAGAAATCATAATGAAGATCATACCTGAGGCTTTTCAGCTTCTCCAGCAATTCAGATACTCAGAACAGTTTTTAGCATAAAACCATCAAAAGCTTAATCAGACAGCCTGCTAGTCTATTTGCTAAAATATCTGCATACTGCTTCATTACACAAGCTTTAAATTATATACTCTCCAATCACACTGACTGGCATATATTTGGTCAACATCAGCACTCCTTAGAACCCAAGAACTGTGCACATCCCTTTGAACGGTGCCTCCAGATGAGAGGGAAGGAAGGAGGAAGACATTTTCACATTTTCTTTTTAATGGCAGAGAAAATCCAACAAGTCCTATGCAAGGAGGGAGCCCTACCAGTTCTTGCCGTGCTGCTGGAATCTCCTGACTCAGAAGTCCAGGTATGACTAAAACAGGTCAGATTTTAAAACAGTAACATTGTGATTGTAAGGAGAGCACAAACCACAGTATGCAGAAATTAAAAGGGGGAGAGGAGGAAAGGTTTCTCTAGTCCAATGGAGAAACATGGGAGAGCATCTTGGTGAAACTCAGCTCAGTCAACTCAGATAATGTATATTAAAAGACTCAATTTGTCTAACTCCACAGGACAAAGTTTATGACGCAAAAATTTCTCTGCCACCACACATTAATGCATGCAGAGGTTGTTTTGTGGCTACCTTCTTGTATCTGTCAGATCATCAGACAAGATGCAGAAAGGTCTTGTCCTCTGGGTTTTAAGGTTTTTGGTTGGGTTTTTTTGCATCCTAGCTTAGCTCTTTCACTCTAAGCAATGTTACTAAGTATTCTGAGAAGACATAACGTGCAATGATCTTTTTCTTGTTGTAAATATCTGTAAAGCATCCTGTTTTATGCCTGTCACAGACACCTCTTTGTGATTCTGCACACTCAGCAGAGAGCTCATCTAAGCGCAAAAGTACGCTGATAAATAAACTGTGAATCAGAGTTGTAAGCCTTACACTCTGCTAGTTTGTTCATTCAGTCCTTTGAGTAGCACAGAATTGTTTGCTCCATCAATTTAGTTATCTCTACACAGATTTTTTAAATGTCTGGAGGGATGGACCCTCTGGGATTGCTTTCTGCAAACTGTTTCAGCAATTTTAGATTCCTCTGAGATTCATCTTAGAATTTCCACCTCTGTAGCTCAACATGTTTCCTCTAATTGTACCTCCCTAGTAACAGATACTTTTGTATGTGTAATCCTTCCCAGCGTTAATGGTTAGATCCTTTGGAAATGATCCCTCGGCATGCTAGGGCAATAGCTACATCCAGCTTGAGTAAATCAATGTAAACATATAATACAGTAGATGCAGATTACCTAACTTGGATGCCAGCAGCAATGTCATTGCAGCAGCAGAGTACATTCCCAAACAGCCAAGGTCCTAATGAGTGTACAGCATGCCCCAGCAGGATTGCTGTAGCTGCTACAGCATGTTGTGCCAACCCCATAAACACCCTTAAGGTGAAAAAGCATTTTATTTTCATTGGTTTTAAATCTGAGCATTTCTCCAATTTATTTGTGTTCTCTCTAACATGTCACCATTCTGACCTCTTGCTCTACATTTTTTCTTGGTTCTTTGCAGTATTACAGTTGTGCTGCCCTGAGCAATGTGGCAGCCAATGTTCAGCACCACAAAGCCTTGCTGAGACCCAGTGACAGATTCCTGCTGCGGACCCTGATCTCTCTCCTCTCCTCTTCTGTGGACAAGGTAAAGTCACAGCTTTCCCTTTGTGAAAATACTTAGCATCTGAGTAGAGGTATAAACCTGGGCTTCCAGTTTTAGCCTCACATCATTCTGTTCATCTACTGTACCTATGTGGCATCTTTCCCATGAGAAAAGACACCTGTAATAGAAAATACATGGGTTCTACAAGTTCAATGTATGAAGAAAGTAAAGGGAAATTATTAAAGTTGTTCTACAGCCCTGGACCCTTCCTTTAGACTAGGATAGCCTGTATGCTATTAACTTGAAACATCATGTGAGCAGTGCCCTGTCCAGTCTCTGTCTTTGATCATTGTGTCTGTGACAGAAATTGTCTGACACATCTGTTGTTCTATATTTTTTTTTTTTTCTTTTTGGTATCCGGAACTTTTACTGTATGGCTTCAAGGAATAACATATTGAAAATTTTGCTTTGTTGGAAGCCACAGCAAAGAAACTTTAAGAAACCACAGTTCAGGGTGGAGCTTGAAATCTCGTGTAGAAGGGAGGTGAAAAAAAGGCAAAGCAAATGGGACAAGTTACTTTCTCTTCATTTTCCTATAACTTATCAGATGTTCTAAAATAAAAGCCAACATCTGAACCCCATTCTTCATCAACAATAGGATGACTAATACTAAGAGAATGAAAAAAAAATTCATCAAAACTTTGAAAAAAAAACATGTGCCAAATTTATTCTGGAAGATAATGTAATAGGTTGCTAGTATTGTCATGTTGATTTTGTGTGCAATAGGCAAGATCATGCATTACTGAAACTGCTCTTTTTCCTCCTCTCTCTCATTTTTAATTTTTTTTCCTCTTTGGCACAAGCAGGTTTCAAGCCAGGCATGTGTTTGCCTAAGAAATTTGGCTATCAGTGGTAAGCAATGTCTTGGAGATAAAGAAACGACACTATTTCTTTTTCTCTCTGCCTTTCAGAGTGAGCACAGTGGGCTGGGAACCTTTCTTATTAAAAGCAAGAGACATTTTCTACATTTCAACTGTATGTTAAGGGAAGAAGAAGGTGCAGCGTATATCCTAGCTAAATCTGTCTTAGAGCTCCCAGGTAGCAAGGGGAGTATCTGGAGAAAGTGAGAAAGGCAGCAGAGGTGTTCAGAGGTGCACAGAGCCTTAGTGAGTTGCTACGCTTTCCTCCTTTCCGTGTTTCCTAAGCATTAAACCAAATTAGGACAGAACGTCTCCTGAAATTGCTTATTGAGTGGGGACCTGTCTTCTGCAAGGCATGATTCTGTCTATCATTAAATGTAATTTTCTCCCCTGCATTTATCATCCTCTTAAAAAAACCTGTCCTATTAAATGTCCAAGGTTCATTTCTATGACATATTCAGGAGACAGTGGCAGAGGACTGGCACACTCAGTGCTAAAGTCCCAGACTCCAGGGTAGAGTTGTTCATCTAGAAAATGTAGAGGTGCTTAATTTTCAAGGAGTCACAATTACAGAGGAGCTGAGAGCAAAGTGCTGTGCCACTCCTTGACATGCTTGAAACACCTGGTCTGCTTGACCTTTTAGATTTGCCTCCATCTGCTGGCTGCTCTGGCATTGCCTTTTAGTGCACTCTCTGAGGCTGCAGGGGCAAGTGGGGTATAACCACTCAGTGAGATGGCTGGGCTCTCTCCTGGTTAACCCCAACTCGGTTAAATAGGTGGTGCTTGGGAGGTCTTTCTGTTTGTGCAGCAGAAGCTGCCACCTTCTTACCTGGCCTTATGCCAGTGATGAGCTCAGAAAATTCCCCTCACTCTTTCTTTTGAGGCTCAGACACAGACTGAGGGTGCCCAAACCTACATTCTGCCATCAAGCTTATATTAATCCCTTAGCAAAAGGAGGCAGAACAAATGAGGATTTATTTTTATAACTGAACATCTGGCATTGCCCCATCCCATGGATGGGAGATGGGCAGGTCCCCTCTAATTTGATCACCGAGGCAACAGTCAGAGCCTAAATTACTCCCTGCAGTGCTCTGAACCCCCCTGACCTCCGTTGTTTTCCCACACCAGCGGACATCCAGGCTGAGATGGTTGCTGAGAATGTACTGCCCAAGCTGTGCTCTCTCCTGGCCTCTGGCAGCGAGGATGTGCGTCGTGCCTCCATTGCTCTGCTCTGGATACTCTCCCAGCACCCACCCAACCAGGTATGGGAGGTCATTTCCCAAAAATAGAGGGGAAAGGGTAGTTCTGGCCACCACCTGGGGTGACACTGTTATGGCAAAACTGCCTATGAAATGCATTTTGAGAATGACCAAGAGACTCTGGGAGACTTCCCAACCCTTCTCTCTCCTACCCAAAATTTACTGCATCTGCACTGTCACTAACTACCTGAGGAGCCATCTGAGTGGGATCCAAAGGATAGACCAGGGAGAGAGTAGAGGGGGAGATGGGTGATAGAGTCATTGGATATGAGGATACTGCCTTGCACTCCCTGCAACTCCTCTAGTCCCCTCAGTCCCCAGACCAGAGGTCTCCAGGTGGGTGTGCAAGGTGGAGGACATACACAGCACCATGAGAGACCATGAGCAACCAAGGAAGTTATTTCTTGGCTACAGAGCTTCCCCACACACTGAAAAGCAGAGATAATAATTTAGAGCACGCATTTAAAGTGCATAAGTGAAGAACAAAGGGCAAATATACATTACTTCCCTACATGGACAGCTTTATTCAAAAGTGCATTTGTAAAATATTAACGTATTTTGAATTAGGATCAAAACAAAAAGGGGACTAACAGATTTTGAAATCCTGTCTATCTTTAGTTAATGCATTAGGCCTTTCACTAGGACTGTATATCCTCATGTCCTAAGTTACAGATTGATTCTTTTGCCCATGTTCAGGGTAAACACCACCATTAATAGTGCAACACTAGCAAATACATAGAGAAGTCTGACTACAAATAAATTACTGCAAATACTGACAGATTACTCTTGTTTTTAAACAAACTTTTCTTTACAGTAATTAAAGACATCCTTAAGAACATAGATGTGAAAGGTTGTTGGTAAGTTTTTTAAGCTAACTACAGCATTTGAAGGTAGTCAGGTTAGCTACACAGAGCAAAAATATGCAAGAACCATTCCTGCCACATTGCTTCAAGCAGTAGTGACAGGTGTCACAGGTGAATAGCTTCAGGTGGCCTTAGGTGCTTCTTGTGCCTGAAGTACACTCAGCCTGACTGGAAATTTACTCTGGGTTTGGAAAGCTTGGTGTTTACCATTCAGTTGTCTGTACACAAACCAAGATTGCAGCTCCCCTACTACCTCTGGAACGTGATGGAGAAAATGGATGAGATCAGTGCTTGGGAAGCAGCGACTAGAGCACAGAGCTGTTCAAGGCACAGTGGCTGCATGAGCACCAGACATCCTCAGTGCTTGTCAAACTCCCTCATACAATCAAAACAGTTTACTCTCAACAAGCTTACAGTTGAAATACATTAAGTTAGTTAAAGGCCATTTGCACAGTGAATATGTTATTCAGTATGAGACATTATGCTGGAACATGCATAGAATGTTATGGACATATGGACAATGCTGGAACACTCAGTTTTGCTTTTCTTGTCTCCAAATATCATTTGCATTTTTTGTTCTCCCAGCAAAGAGTACCCACAAATCCTTTTCTCCCTGGTCCTGAAACTTGTCTTTGCCAGTGTTTCAAACCCTGGCCACAAAGAGACATGGTCAGCATCAGTAAGAACAAAGACACTGGGAACTCAGCCTTGGTACACTAGTGATGAAACAGCCCATCCTTCATAAGGGAAGAAAATGGGTCAGTAGCAGGAGGCTGGAAAGCAAAGCATCTCTACTTTATTCTCCAGTGAGAAGTATCTACATATCTAAATTTGTTTTAGTGGGCAAACACGGCTGAGCCTGACTACTGAATGTTGCTGCTTTGTGCGAGCGAGCCCTGGGCACTCTGAGAAGAGGCTGACCTCTTTGTATTCATATCCTGCCTCCCCATCTCCATGCCTTTTCTGGCCTGTTTTTCAAGCCTTTTCAATGTTTCTTTCTCTAACTCAGGCTGAATTCTCCGTGACTGAAAAAGAGACTTCTCCATGGGAACAACTGTTGGAAAACAAACCACTGAACAAAGCTAACCTTTACAACCAAGTCAAGTGATGCTTGAATTATTACAAATACTACCCAGAATATAATGGGGCAGAATCTGTCTGCCCTTTTGTTACCATGAAGCAAACCCCCAGGAATGCTTCACAGAGCTCTTCACCCTGCTTCAGCCCCATTTTTGCAATCTCCTGGTCAGGCTGCTGACAGGGATTCCCAGCAAGGGCTGGAAAATTTCCCTCTTGCTGAAGGAACTGTATTCAGTTTTCCCAAGGATAGCCCAACCCTGAAATGCTAAAGAATCAGGTTTTGTAAGAAAACAGTCTCTTAAGTCAAATTCCTTTGAGCAAAAGACCTGGAAGTCAGGGTCTGTCTATTCCAGATGGTGCCACTGACTCTCCACTCCAGGTACAAAATAACTTTGCCTTGTCATCTTGCTAACTGGTAAATGGGATAATATTTACCTTGTCAATCAATTCCTGTGTGAGGAGTATGAGTGCAGCATTGCAACTGTAAGCACACTTGCTGCTGGCATGCTTTTCCTTGCCCTTTTTATTATTATTATTATTATTATTATTATTATTATTATTTTTAGTATTGTAGTTTTGGGAAAAATTAGATCAATATCCATCTGAATCACTTGATCTATTTTTACTCACAGATTTCTCGTGATTCTCTTGCACTGTGCAGGATTGAGCCAGAAAACAAAATCTGAACCTCAGCCATATTCCAGCCAAAAAAAGAAGTTGAGCAAAATTCAAGTACTGTCACTTGCTAATGTAGGTCCTAAATAAACAAAAGATCTTGGCAGGGAAGTCATTATATATTAGAAAGTTCCTTTATAATCCATAGAAAATTTCCTCCTCTCAGGCTGTAGCAAATCAAAAATGAGTATTGTAGTTGATGGGATTACATAGAAAGAGGACATTCAGCCCAAAAGCATAGAAAACAGTCATTGGTGGTAATGTAATTTGATTATCTGAAACTATATTATTTCTTCCTTTAAAGAGAAGGAAAAACAAGACTGAGGAAAATCTACTGTCATGTCTACATATAGGATTCTTTAAATGCCCTGTGTTTAGGCATAGAACTGCCCTTTCCACTTATTTTCCTGCTTTATTTTAGGATTGTTGGTTGTGACAGTGCTTAAAATGAGCTAAGTGAAGATGTCAGCGGGTATTAAAAGAAAGCAAGATACACTTTTGCAATTTAACCTAAGCAAAAGAAAGATTAAAGTTAAAGTAACTTTTAAAGACATCTGCCTTTCAACACTGCTTTAGTGACCCTGACATTTCACACGATTCAGAATTATGTGGTTTTTTGCAGCTGTGTATAGGACCAATGATTTGTTTTAGATTGAACTCCCTTGCTAATGCATCTCGGTTTCCAAGTAGTACAAATAATATAGTTCATTGTGAACAATCAGAAGTGCATAAAAAGCCCCTAAATTTCTAAGGGAAGGAGACTGAAAGAAAAAACACTCTCAAGAGGTAATCTTTTGCTTTTAACTGTAGACCTAACACAAACTCTGTTGAAGTCAGGTTTCTCTTACACACAGCAGTGCCCCTTTAATCCATATTGTTATTGAGGTAAATACCTGTGCAGTAATCCAAACTCCAATCTAGATTACTGCACAGGTAACTACAGGACAAAAGTAATGGCTTCAAACTGAAAGTATGTTTAGATTTGATATTAGAAAAAACATTCCTAACTGTGAGGGTGGTGAGGCACTGGAACATGTTGACCAGAGAATTTGTGGATGCCCCATCCCTGGAAGTGTTTAAGGCCAGGTTGGGTAGGGCTCTGAGCAACCTGGCCTAGTGGAGGGTGTTCCTGCTTATGGCAAGAGGATTTGGAACCAGATGATCTTTAAGATCCCTTCCAACCCAGCCCATTCTGTGATTCAATTAATATTAATGGTAATTGGAGGAAGACTACGGAGAGAGAAGTACCTAGCAAAGTACTTCTAAAATATCATCAGACAGCAGAGAAATGTGTGTAAAGATGTTGTTCAGGACATGTTTACTAAGAGGTGCCTGATCACAAATTAACTTAAACGTGCAACCCATTATTGTAGCCAGGTAAATTGCTGAAGTACTCAAGGGTGCACTGTTGCTGTTACTTCACCATGTGCTTCTGCCTTTCACACCAGCCCTGACCACCTCTCCTTCCAGTCAGGATCACACATCCTTCCCCTGACTAGCAATGACCCTGGTGAGGCATTTGATGGAAACAACAATAAACTACACGACCTTGAAGACTCCAGCCTTCCATAGCAAGAGCTCAATATTCAGTGCCAGTCAGACCATACTTGAGAGAAGCAGCACTGGACCCAGCCACATCTTTGTTTTAAATAAGCAAACTAATGCTCTTCTTGCAGACTTAGGTTTGATCTCTCCGTAACATACTGCAAAATTGCGCCGTGTTGTCCATATCGGATGTAACTGAGATACCAGTTGCTCTTCTCAGGATACTTTGGCATGTGCTGAGCTACTGCAGAGCCTGGGGACATTACTGGCAGCACATAAAACAGACCCTGTGATTGTTGGACATACTGCTTGCATCATCAAAAACCTGAGCCTTTCCAAAAACAGACAGGTAGGTACAGTGTTTGTCACTGAACTATACCCTGTGAGGCTGACATTGTGTTCATGTCAAATCAGCATTAAAGAAAAATTAATTCTGGGGGTAATTAAACATATGCCAATTTGCTGTATATTTTACACAAAATTGCATGTATGAATAAAAGGGCCATATTTTCCCAATACAATATAAAAAAACTAATTAAAGTAAGAAATATCTAGTTTTTGCTATGAGTGATGTGGTTACCTAATTTGACTGCATCATAGGTATACAAAGTTCTTCTAGCAAAGACATTTCATACTGATTAAAGGAATCATTCAGGAAAATCTGAGGTCTGTTATGAACTGAATTTTTATTTCCTGGCTCTCGTGCTTCTGCTGCCATTCATTGTGAAATTAAACCCCAGCTATTGATGTACATTTTGCCTCTTTGTCAAGATACTAACTATGTCAAAATGCTGTAAAGATCTCTTTTGCTGATTTTGCTTCAAACTCCATATGTACTTCCTTTCATCCTTGCCTTTTAGTGTATCTTGATCAAACAGTACCACCAGTAGCAATCAATATTGAGGAAAAAACCCCACCAAATCTTCATTTCTGTTTTGTCCCACTTCCTAGTGCACACTTTTCAAGACTGAGTTCTTTTTTTCTCTTTGTTCACGATCCATTTACTACTAGTTCCAGAGATTTAAACCAGCCAGAAGGAAAGTTTTTTTTCACTAAGAATTATATAAATTTCTAATAGCTGTGACATCAAGTTTTGCAGGAAACTAGATTCCCTTAAACTCAAGGCCCACAGTAGGAATAAAAATGGATTGTCTGTTCAAAGTTTGACAAATACAGTCTTTCTTTAAAATACTTAAATTCCGTGACTTTATCCTGTTATCAGCTGGGAGCTACTTCACCTTCATGAAGCTTTATAATATCCAGAGTATAAAGTTCTCACTGCATAAGTGAATACACAGACATGAGTGGGAGTGCCAGGTTTCCAGGGTCAATTCTAAAGAACGCTCCCTAAAACACATAAGAGTTCTTGGCATAAGAGGAAAAAGACAGTGCTGTTTTTATGCCAGTAGGACACAAACAGAGTATGGGAGCTTGAAAAGCAGCAGTCTCAAATCCACCTTGAACCTCTAAGCAGCAAGTTCAAAAACTGCAGCTTAAAATGAGTATCAGAAAAAGATACTCCCTTTTGTTGATAGACACATGAGCTTATCTAGGGAGCCATGAGCAGCTTCCATTGTTAGGGCCTCTCAGAGAGCTGATGACTTCATGGTTCAACTTCACTAGCAACAGTCACCTCCAGCTGACTCATTCAGAACCCATTTCTTGGTCTCATTTTTTGCTTTTAATCCAGGTCAGCACAGGCCAAGTCTCCGATCTGTTTTCATTTCAGCCTATAAAATATATTTCTCAGTACAGGTGATCTCTGAATCAAGATGTTTTCACTTGGTTATGGTAGATCTGGGAGGAGATGTTTCCATTATTGCTGGTTTAACCCTCAGTACTGTAGGAGCACTTCTGAAGCCCCCAGACACCACTAAACCATAATGGAAGTGCTAACCATGAATCTCTCTCTTGTGGCAGAGAATCACTGAGAGCCGCTGTGTCGAAGGTCTCCTTCAGACCATGCTTTTGACCGACACTCAGGAAGACTCCCTTCATTATGTGACATCCTGCCTTGCTGAGCTGGCAAAGCAAGGTATGGCAGCAACCCTCCATCAGTGGCTGAATCAGAGAAGTGCACACATGTCCTTTATTAATTCTAATAGGCGATGGACACACAGCCCAAGTCTTTCCCTTTAAATTCATTGTTTAGTTGTAAGTTTCAAGAACAAAATCCAATTCGCTGGCAGGATACATGGGCTCCATTGTCTGCACTTCTGTTCAACTCCTTAAAACTCTTTACTCTAAATTTTTTTGTGCTGAACTTTACTGCTGTACATGGCCAGTCTACTTCTAATTCTAACACTTCCCAGTTTCTCAGGCTGAAATAATTTTATCATTGCAGAAACTGACATAAAAAAAAGATGAAAATACTAATCAGGTCTTTATCTTGTAATTTTTTGCACATGTATTTTATCAGAGATAACAAATTTACATTCTTGAAAGGTACAGCACTCTTTATAGCAGAAAGGATGAGTATAAATTTTCCCAACATACCCCAACACTGGATATTGTCTGTCAAACAAGTCATCTCTTGCATCTGGTGTAATGGCCATGCAGCTGGCAATATCACATTTAACTCTGCAAGCAGAGCACAGTACCTGCTGGACAGACTGAGCCAATAGGCCAAAAGTGGATCTTGCACATAAAGCGATTCATTTTTGCAGAACAAAAAGCCAAAAAAATATGAAGCAAATCCATGTCCTTACCTTACTGAGAGCACAACCTCAGAACATGACCCTTTTTTACAACCTGAACATACTTATTAACCAAGTTCAGCACTTAATTTTCTTCTCCAGTTGCATGAAGGATTCACTATTTCAGCAGTTTCTGGCAGACCTCTTACATTCATTTCTTTGACACTGGAGTTCCTATTTAGAGACTATTCTCTTACCTTCCTGCCTTCCAGAAGGAGCCATGTTACACATGGTCCAGTGGATGGATGAACCTCTGACAAAGTGCTTGGTGAGACTGGCTGGCCAGCTAGAACATCCAGAGCCATCCTTCCATGCTGCCTCCATCATCCTGCACATAAGCGGTCATGGTAACACACACAGGATTAACTGTGCTTAAAAATTAGCCTTTTCCCAAAGGACTGTAAGGCACTGAACAACCTTAAATATTCCTCTGTGACCCCCCATTTGGTCTCTACAGATTTTTCATAGTACAATTGCCTATAGTCACCTGTGAAGTAAAGCAGTCCTTGAGTGCTTGAGAAAGTCCGGGGATGAAAGTGGACCATATATAAAGGTCTGATTTACATGTTTGTTGCCTTCTTCAAGAACTGCCATTCTGCAGGGCTGGTCCATAGCCTCAGTTCTAAGGTCCTTGCAGAGAACTTCAGTAGGAAGGCTAGAGACCATTAAGATACTCCTCACCATGGGAGAGATGAGAAATTGTCTCAAAAAGGGTCACTTCGGACAAGGTTACATCTTTCTGTTTGACCTTCTTTCTCAGTATGTAAAATGTGATGACATCCCCCACAGGCACCAGAGGTTGTATTCCAAAATTTTAGATTAACTCTGCTCCCTGAGCAGCAAGAGGAAAACTCTTACTGAACCAAAACCTGCTGATATCATTCTAGAATAAATTAGCTGGAGCAGAGAAGTAAAGTGGCTTTTAAGAATGTAGCCAAATTTTTTGAAGTTTCAATGGGAGAGAATAAAAGAGCACTATTTTTACCTGTAGAAAACGAACATCTTTATGCATAACATACTTGTCCCATGTAGCTGAGGGCCTTTAAGGTTTGCAAGAAAAGGGTGTTCACATGGTACTTGCCATATTCTCTAGAAAGGTATGGTTAGACATTAGACATAAGGAAAACTGAAACACGTAGTGAGTCCCCAGTAAGGGAAAATGTAAATCTGTTTCATTTCTACCATTGAGGATTTGCAACAGAGCAGACTCTCAGGTAGTGAACAGAATCAAACATCATAATCATCTCATGGACAGCTTCACCTACCAGGCCAACCAGTCTGTGAACCAGCCCACCCCTTACACAGGGATCAGATTCCCAGCACAGCAGCCTACTCAACTTTTTATTTACCTTAAGTATTATCAGAAGCTGTAGTACAGGGAAGTCCCTTGCCAATCTTTTTAGTAATGTTGGTTTTAGCTGAAGGTGGATGAGTCATTATTGATCTTATAAATGTTGCAAAAATCAGTTTTCAAAGTGTTTAAAGGTTCGTACTGATCTCCAGTGGTTCTCTCATTTATGCAGAAAAAATTATGCTTTTGTGGAAGCACCACATTAGAGAGATTCAAGCCTACCTCAGGAATTTTCTTACCCACCGGGAAGTCCGTTTTCAGCAGCTGGGCATCTCCACATTCTGCAGACTACGAGCAGGTACGTCCTTCCTGCCAAGGCTGCCTGCACCCATCAGCAGCAAACAGGCACTGCTTAGTAATAGATCACAGAATCATTAGGGTTGGAGAAGACCTCTAAGATCATTGAGTCCAACCACTAACAGTGCAGACTTCTCCAGGGACTAGCTCTGCTCACTTAAGAAAACAGAAAAATCTCAAGGGTAGCTGTTACCTCACCTGTTTTAAAGCAGCTCATAAAGAGTATCTCCTGATGAAGGCAGGAAGATTTTGTTTGCTTGCTTTCAAACTAAAAGCTTTCTGAATCCAGGGAAATGGGACTTTGGGAACATATGCTTTTATCCTATATAAGAATTTTTGGGCACTGGATTTCAAAAGTTTTTCAAATGTGATTTTAGTTTATTTTGGTGAAGCAAGCAAATAAGGAAACTGCATGACTAGCTGATATTAAAGCCAGGAAGTCTCACATTTTCATACTTTAAAGTCCATTCCTTAATATTTTTCCTGGGTTTGGCTAGTCTTCTTGTCTTTGGATAAAAGTTGAGTACTTATGAGAGTTATAATGTGGTAATAACTGTATATAGCACATATTTTTATGTATGTAGAGCCAGAGCCAAAAACCTTGCTATATCTAGATAGGCAGCTGCTGCATAAGGCTGAATTTGGCAATGGAGATTTTTACATCCAGATCAGGAAAATTTAGCAGCAATCTTGAATGATTGTAGGGATGAAAACTGAATTTATATCTGCTTTGTGTGATATTTTTCTGCCTTACCTGCAATAAGAACCACCAACCAACTGTATGTAACCTGAAAAGTAAGTTTTCTATGCATCTGCATTAGAACATGGGAAAAAAACAGCAGGTTGCCTAATACCTGTCATTCCTTTTCAGATCCAGACTTTTCATTAGCATTCAGAAAAAGCCAAATGGCCAGACTCCTTGAACAAGTCCGTCAACAAACAGAAGAAACTCAAGAGCTCCTCAGGGCAGCTATGTACCATGAAGACTGTTAATATTTAAGCCAAATGCCTTATGAAAACTTACCAGATCCAAGGGCCTGAACTTTCAGAGGAAACAACTCTTTTCATTGGTTCCTGTAATTTTCCTTCTACTTGCAGTTTCGTCATACAGGAGACATGTCCCGATAACAAGAATTGGAGCAGGTGAAAACACAATTCCTTGGACCCTTTGTCCTTGGACCCTTAAGTGTGCTTGAGGACATGGCTACATGTCAAAAAACACCAGCTATGCTTCGTTAACCTTCCATGGTTTTTGGTTTCCTCACCCTCCCTTCAGAAAAATCAGCACTGTATTAATGAGGTTTTATTCATGCAACAGGCTAATTCCACTGATGAGGCATCTCCCAAGTATGCAGGTGACTCTGCATTCATCTTTATTCTGTTTCTGTTCCATGTCCTGTATTTCAGAGCAGACTCCAAGGACTTTAGAAAGTAACTGAATCAGCCCACACTATAAAGGTAGAAAAGCCATGAACAGGTTACTATAGAAAGTTACTGCTGAGGGACACTTCAGAAAGTGCAAGAAATTTGTAAGAAACAAGGATGGGTGAAGCCTTACGGTTGATCCTTGTCCACACTATAGGCATTACCCTCCAACAGAAGAGCAAAGGAACGTTAAGGCAAGGAAATGTTGCACAGAGCAAGTACAGAACACAGCAGGAACCACAAATGATTTGGGTGAGATGTGTTTAAGTACAGAACTGTGTTCTGCAAATGTTAAATTATTTCCAAAGCTACTTGCAACAAGGAAAGAGTGAAAATGTTTGGCAAAATTAGGAATTTTTGTTGTATTTTGATATTGATGCTTCATTTTAAATGGAGTTAAAGAACAATAAAGAGGTAGTCATGTGTTTAAGTTCAACTCATTTTCTTACATATATACTTCCCATGGGCAGGCAGATGTTCAGCCATCTCCAGGAAAGCTGGGTTCCATCATGTGTAATGGTTACTTGGGAAGACACACACTGTAACTTCAAACAACCCCCCTTTCCTCTTCCTTCCCCTGGTTTTATATGCCCAGCATGACAATGTAAGGTATGGAATGTTGCTGTGGTCACCTGCCCCCAGCTGTCCCCTCATAATTTCTTTTGCAACCCCAGGCAGGTGGAGTGGTGTGAGAAGCAGACTCTGTGCAAGCACTGCTGAGTGGTAACTAAAACATCCCTGTGTTACCAACCTTGTGTTCAGCACAAAACCAAACACAGCCCCCTCTGAGCTACTGTGAAGAATATTAACTCTACCCAGGCAAAAGCAGGAGGTACTTCTGACCATCTCATAACTCTTATGTGCATGTAGAGCTTTAGAGCTGATACTAGTCAAAAACATGGAATAAAAGTGAGATTAGAAAAATAGTTTAAAAAGTTGTTCTGTCAATTAAGAGCTCAATGTTCCATTTTATTGTGGCTCAAATCTCTAAGCTTAATTTTGGTGCTTGTGGGAGGCATTTTTGATAATGATTTCTTTTAATATCTTCAAGTTCTTTCTAATGGTACTGTTTGGGAAAAAACACACCAACCATCCCCCCCCCCCCAAAAAAAAAAAACCTCAAAAAAACAAAACCAAACCAAACACAACAAATCACACAAAAAAACCCAAAACATGTAAAAATAACCAAAACCAAACTCAATGCAGTAAAAAGGCTTATTAAAGTGCAGGGTAGACAAACTTCGGATAAAGCAATATGTATTTTCAATATTCATGCATGACAGGAATCTTGTTTTGAAATCTCATATAACAAACCATGTGCTCAGCTTTGGGCAGGTGGACTTTCTAAAACAGAGGACTGGGTGAATGACACACCTGGGAAGAAAAAAAAATCTCAAACTGCAAACCACCTCCATGGGTGATTTTAGATCAATTTCCAAAAAGAAACAGTGCAATATTAAGTAATGATAGTAGAATGTGTCTTGTATCTGTATTCTCAGGTATTTAATCTCAAACATTATTTCAAGGTCTTAGCAAGAAAGCAAATAACAAAGCATTCTTCATCAGGAATGAGGAGATAAAAGACATGAAGCAAGCAGAGCTAATGGTGAGCAGTGCAGCAGCTGCGATGTATTGAAATAACTCAGAGAGTATCATCCCTGTGAGCATCCATGCTGTGCTGTGGAGACAGGAGCATGGAGCTGAGCCTTCCCAAAGCACACAGCTCTCTGCTGGGGAAGGCTTCCCAGCCCTCACAACAGCTGTCTGCACCTGCTACTTCTACCTCATGGAGTAGTTCCACCTTGCTCCTCATGGTACAAACAACACAACCAGTTGCAATAGCAGGCAGAGGAGCTGGCCTTCCTCCCATAACATATTTTATTGTCAAGAACAACAACAGAAGAGAAACTATTTTCCTTGCATTAAAAGAGGCTTAACCAAAAGATTTTAAAATTCAGTATTAAATCCTTTATAAAAAATTCATGCACCTACTTCTACTCTCAATTCCCTTGGTTTTATTTTGTATGTCAGGCTGCTGAAACAGGAAATTCTTGATCTCATTTGTAGCAAATGTGGATTGACTGTAGTGATAAACTGTTTTTAATACAGCCCTGTAAAAAAAAAAACCAAAAAACAAAAAATAAACAAAAAAAAAAAGTGAGAAATAAAGCCAACCCATTTTTCCACAAATACTGAAGCTAAATGTGCTGAAGTCTCCCAAAAAACAAACGAGCATAATTTATAACCAATCCTAAAGTAGCTCAAGATCAACACAATTTAAACCTGATCCTAAATGAACCCTAAGACTTAAAACTGAAGTTATATGTAACTGTCTATCTCTTTGTTCTCTTTCTTACTGTGTCTCTGATTTTTTAGTAAAGAAATTAGAGGAAACCTGAAGCAAAGTTTTAAGCAGACCATGAGCAGCAAGAATAATTTTCCAAAAGAGATTGACTCTTGCTTCAGTTATGCAAGAAAATGAAAATATAAGTAGAAATAAATATTTCAAACAAGTTTTATTTGGTACTTACATGCTATATATAGTTTTAAAGAAAAACTACATATTTTGGACACTTCAAAATATTGTGGCTATGTACATGGAAAACTAAAGAAAGCAAGAAAGGAACCCAATTCATTTTACTGTGTCACAAGTTACTATTGAAAGCACTCTGAGTGGATGGCTGTTTTTTCCTTTCCATAAATATTTCGGCAGATGAAGTCTCTTTCATTTGATTTCCATTGCTTTTATCCCATCTCCTCTATAAGATGAACACTTGGCAGCAGCAGAAATGTCTTCAAAAATTCTTCGGCTCTTATCTCAGAGGATTTCTTCTGCTAGCACAGACTTTCTGCACAGCTTCCCAGAGGCCTTGCTCAGTGCACACTAAAGGCAAGTGCAGGAATCTTAATGGTACATTCTCTGTTAGCAGGAGCTGAGAGCCCATGAACCTCCATTTCCCCTACCCAAGGATCTTCTCAGTGATTCAGACAGCAATGCCTCAAGCCTTCGGCGATGCTTCAAACCCAAACACCCAGAGCGAGCTCTGCCTCCAACAGCATTGTTTAGCAAAGCACAAAAACGTGCAAGATTTTACAGTTCTGCACAACAGCAACCAAAAGTGTGGGATGGAACAATGAATGACAGTAGAAATCAGCATCAAACTAAAGAGAAAGCAACCTGCATCGCTCCTCTTATCACTCGAACTGCACTGCTTTATAAAAACCACACACTACATAAAAAAGCAAAATGACCATTTTCCATTTGCTCTGAAACGAGCAAACCCCAGAAATCCCCAAACCTGCATCATCATCCAAAACTCAAATATCCCAGGTTTCACACAGTCTTCAATAGTCTGATAAGGCAAAGGAAAAGTCTTCCATCATTGGGAACAGCAGCAATTTACAGGACTCAGAACAAGGTATTTCACTGTATGTGTGTGCACATATGCATACACGTCTTTTATAGTATTGTGAAATTGGATGTAACTAAAAAAAAAAATCAAGTTTGCAGTATCTTTTTTACCACATTTGTCTAATTTATTCAATTAAATGATTTCTTTCTGTACTGAGCAAAATTCATAAATACATAATCTAGGAGAACAATAGTTTTTACTCTTGTCCATGAAAAAATAACGCTTTCAAATTTTCACATTTTAAAACCTGTCTTGTTTTGTGTTTTTAGAGAAAACGTGAGAAAATCATAGTGACGTCTCAATTTACAGAATGTCCCTGTAGGAATTACATTTACAAGAACCTGATACAGAAGCCTATAGTTTGCCCCCATAATTAGAGTTCTCTGCAATAACATTTAAACCAACAGGTTTAAATAAAACACCTCATTAACTCTACTTGTAGAGCAATGAGGCATTTATTTTTCAAGTATTAGAACCACAAAGTGTAAAAGATTCTTTGCCAATTTTACAATTATGCCTTTTAAACCAACACCCACCTTTTTAAAAACAAAAAAGAATCAGTCCCACCACCCAAATCAGCCCGTTACTTTCAGATTCCAGTGTCTTGTGTCTTAAGAAATATTCATTTACTAACAAAAAAAGCTTGTTGGAAATAGCCATATTAAGTAACGCATGTGAAGCATGATTTTTCTAGTGATGAAAGCTATTAGAATGGTGATCCAAGTCTATTCCCCTCATTTCTTCTGCTGGTTTTACTAAAGTCCTTCCAAAAAAAGTATTCAAGAAATCTTTAAAAAACTGGAGAGAAAAATAAAACACTCCTTCATTGCATGGAAGAAACTCCACTGACTGCAGAGACGCTCATATCACCTTTGGTTCTTCAGAAGAAACAATCAGATCACTTCTAAAACAGAAGGTAAACATGACAGGTCAGAGTGGCAATTCTTTCTTCAAGGTGTTATGTGCTTAAGCAATTATTTTAATGAGAGATGATTTTCCTTACACTTTTAGGCCAGAGAAAAATAAAGCGCTATCCAATTTCATTTGCTAAATTAGTATTTGTTGAAAAGTTGTAATTCAGAAAAATCCAGTGTCCTGAAAACCATCCCTCAATGCCTGCAGGAACTTGATGAGGAAAGCACATCCAGAATTTCAAAAAGTAGTTTTTAAAAATTAGTCTCCCCTTCTGCATGCACATCTGTCTTGGGTTGCAATGCAAGATGTAACCAAATGTATGTATTCTATTACCAGCTGTTAAAACCAGGTGGTGCAGTGTTCTTTATCTCCTCCACTACCTGTCCTCCTCCAGGGGGGTCTCTTCTGTTCATGGGCCATTGAGTCTCACTGCAGGACTGATAAAATTCCATCTTCCCAGGGTGAGATGCTCCACCCAAGGGGAGGAGCCAAGCATTCCTACCTGGATATAGTCTGTGACTGGGAACACCACAGGCAGCCTTCTCCACTGGATTCCCAGAGGAAGACTGGAAACATCTACGCCGCCACTGGACCTTCAGAGGAAAACTGCACCCTCCCACAGGATCATTGCTTCAACAGGACCACGTCTGTCACTGCAGGAGGACTGCAGCCACCATTTAATCTGACTGCTACCAACACCCTGACCAACAGGGTGTCAGGTTGTATTCTGACTCTGACAGTGGGTTTTGTACTACTGCATTTTTATTTTAATTTTCCTATCAAGTTGTAGTTTTTGTTGTTTTATTTTTTCACTATTTATACATACTAGTAAAGAACTGTTATTCCTACTCCTATATCTTTGCCTGAGAGCCCTTTAATTTCAAGATTATAATAATTCTGAGGAAGGGGGTTTACACTTTCCATTTCAAGGGAGGCTCCAGCCTTCCTTAGCAGACACCTGTCTTTTCAAACCAAGACAGCATGTCAAGCACTGCACTTGCAAAACTGGAACCCAATTGCTGATCATAAGGTCAGAAAACCAGCTATCACTTCTGTTTGAAAGCACAGGGCAAACCTTTCCAAGCAACTTCAAATGGCAGAAAGTGAGGTATATGTGAAAGGCCCTCATCCAGGAAACTGTAAGGCCTCACCACTGTTGCACTGCATCTGTATGTGCTTGGCAGGCATAGCTTTACAAAGGTATGTGCTCTTGTCCCCAAGTAATTTAAATTTGTTAAAAATTTAAACTCTGTAAACAGAGTTTAAATATATATAAAAAAAGGAGTATAAAAATGCTTAAATGAATCAACTTCTATTAATTGAGAGCTTTGGGACCTCTGTCGATTACAACAAATTACAAGTGTTAGTGAACCACAGCAAACCTACCTGCTGTTTGATGTGTTTGAACACTATCTACCTGAGGCAAAAGAGTCCCCTTATCTTCAAAGGCTAGAATTGGATTCAAAGGAATTTCGGGACTATTGCTGCCATCATTGTTCATAGCATCCAGCCGGGATGGTTTAGAACCAAGAGGCAGGTTCATGATCTCTTCAAAGTTATCATTCTGCATAGACATTCCGTTTTCATTTGCATTTTTCTCTGGATTGAGATTGCTGAAAGAGAAACACAGACATTTTTTTTTTACATACTTTATCTAGAACAGAAATTTAGTCATCCTCAAAGCAAAAGCACAAGTTGAAGAGAGGTATGCATCAATCCCAAACATTCTTTTAGCCAGTGAAAACAAAACTATGCTTCTACCACAGTATTAAAAATTGGTTTTGCAGCCAAGTACGTGATATTCCTTCCCTCAGACCCATGGGATACTAGTTACTTTTGGCTACATGATAGCCAGAAGTACAGGGTACTGTGGGTGTGGACGCTGCAGTCTGAGAAGCAACTGCAATGGGGATCAGTAATGAAACCTGTGCAGAAACACCCACATAATGCAATTTACAGCCCCTAACAGCTTTTTCAGATCTCATAACTTTCATTGTACCCTTCCTCTTATTGCAAATCAATGTAATTGCCCTTGGATAAGATCATTGTTATTTTTATTATTTCTTGGATCACCTCCTGCCACCAGTTCTGGAGCAGCTGCTTCTATATCCCACTGATCCAGAGGAAAAACTCCCTTGTCAATATAGTGCTCCTTTCAGTCCCTTCTCCCATACAAGATCTTAGGGGTCATTTCCAAGGCTCTACCCAGCTCCATACTTCTCCTGTGGATCATGTCCAAGCCAAAAGAGCCCTCTCCCAGAGTCCCTTATGTCAATCTGCACTTCAATTTTCCATCTCTCATGTGAGAAAGAACCCTTATGAGCAAGCCCTTGTACATCTCCCCCAGTTAAGAGCAGCACAGGCACACTCTGCATTTACACGTACTCTCCCCAGACGATACTTGCTCATGTCTCAGCCTTCATCCTCCCCTCCCAACCCCTTTATTAGGTGCTGCATTGTCAAATCCTTCTGACTCTGCAAATGGCACGTCCTATCCTGCCAGAGAGGAGAAACTAAGGATAACAGGAGTGATATCAGGTTAACCGTAATGGGACCATAAGCTCCTCATGCAAGAGCAAGTACTCAACAAATAACTCAAAAATCTTGTGTTCTTCCACAGGTGCTTTCTAAAGCCCTCAACAGTTAGATCCTGACAATCCTGGGTACCTATTCCCTGTTTGGACCACATCACAACTGTTCAGGTTGTTTGGAAATGTTTCAGCCACAAAGGCACAGATGCAATTTTCCTAGATTGGAAGTTGGCTATCCTCAGGCTATTTCTCAGCAGGTTTGGTTTCACAGGCTAATTTTCTGACAGCACATTTAAAAAGGAACCTGCTTGTAATTGGCATACAGTATATTTTAATTTTCTGGCTTCTTTATGTGTACAACTTTGCATAAACAGTTAAAGAATTATTTTACAGTATTCTCCAAGAGAGAAAAAAAAAAAAAAAAAAAATCATTGCTCTTTTCAAAGTGGATTTATCCAACGCCCAGATATCCTGTGAGAATCACACACTGGTGTTCATATCAAGCCTTCCCAGTTTTCCAAACCATTACCAGTTCTTTTGTCAGAAAGACAATACCTTTTTTTTTTTTTTTTTTCATTTGTGGATATGCTGGGAAAATTTCAAAGTGAAAAATATGTTTCACTGCACTGAGTTTGAAAGCAGGCATAGAAACCCTGCTGGCTGCCTGGGAGAGCTCCTAAGTCATATCCTTTTGTGCCAGAGAGCCACATCTGTAAGATGAGGAGCAGAATCTGTGAAATGCTTTATTAAAACCTGCTCTGCCATGTACAGTCATTAGGTTAATTTTCACTATAAGGTATCTTGTTACTTATTTTATCCCCATCTACTGCCAATAACCGTACCAGAGCAAGGATAACATGCGAAATTTGATGAATGGGGTAAGAAAGAGGTGGGAAGAGAGTAACAGCCCATTCATATAAATTAAACATATATATTCATATAAATTCAACAAGTATTAGAGCAATATAAGGACAAGCCTCTTGCTTCTGCAAACAGAATTTTTTTACCCAATTTATCAGCTGACTTAGTGAATGAAGAATTCTTCATATTTCTTATTTATGTGTCATTGCACTACCAGTAGGACACATGAAGTTAAAGTAAGATTTGTTCAGACTTGAACAATGTCTTTTGAGACAGTGTAGTCTACAATCACAAAGGGGGTACAGAAAAGGAAATCAGGACTATAAATATTCTAAATTTTGTGGGGTAAAATCTTCTAGATTCTATGCTGCTTGATCTACCTAATTACTAGAGGAGCAAATTTAGACAAAACAAAGGGAAAAATAGAACAGTGGAATTAATTTCCACTGGACATCTTAGAGGCCACAAACTCAAAAGGAGATTAGATAAATTCCTAGGAGATTGGTATGCCCTTCAGCATCTGCTAATTAGCAGCTTAGGGACTACTTGGTTGCATTTGGACCACAATGCTTAGCAACCCTTCACTGGCTAGAGGATCTCCTGGTAATTATCTTTTTTTTTTTCCTTTACATTGTGCTACAGGCCATTAAAACAAAGAACACAAAAAATAAAAAAGGGGTTTTGACCAGCTACAGCTGTTCTCACTGTGTGTTACATTTTAATGTTGTCTAAGTGTCTAATACAACACCAGAGATATCCTTTTCAGGCATGCAATATTGCAGAAAGAACTGGGTAATTTTGACATTCTAACATATTCCATAAGCGTGTATGTAGCAAGACACTTGTGTAACAGAGGAAAAAATGTTGCCCGAGTTGTTCAGAGTGCATTTCCAAACATAACAGTCTTGCAAACATCTGAAGGACATCTCCATGACAGCTGAAAAGTATCTCTGCAGCTTCACATTTTGACCTGGACACATCAATATTAACAAGATAGACTGGAGGATGTTGAGAAAAGAAAAGCAAGTTCAATTAAAGGAACTGGAACGTCCAAAAAATTTAAAATTACTGAAAATTAGATATATTGTAGATAATTTTAGCCAAAACTCTATGTAGACAGTCTAAAATCAGAATTTGAAGGGACTAAAAAATAAAGGCCAGAATTCAGTATATCCGTTTCCGATCATTCATCAAAAATCAACACTGAATAGGAAAAAAATAAAATACAGAATTGCAAGCCTTTAAAAAATGCCAAAATATTAATCACAGCTACTATTTCTGATCTAAAGGACAATGTCAGTCACCTAATTTATTGAGAGGATTTTTGTTGAGGAGACATAGACAGACATAAACAGCAAAATATATCCCAGATTTCTGAATTTAAATAAATGGTGCATATTTTTAATCCACTGAGACAGCAACTCTGAAACCAGCCAGCACTGAGGAGCTTTCTTTTCCAGGACAAGATATGAAGGCAATCACCCAGACCAACTATATATTTCTAAAAACTAGTTATCTAACCTACCCAGACCCAGCTCCACGCACACAGGATGGAGACATGTGAGGTGAACTGCGCTCACTGAGGTGTTTTGCACTTCATTGCAAGTGTTTGTAGAAAACAGCACAGGAAAGAGGAATTACAGAGTAAGCACCATAAGGAAAGCGCTGTTAACATAAACCACTGTACTGAAATTACTTTTTCAAAGAAGTAGCAGGCATGATCTATCTTGGGCAAAGAATTAGTGAATGGAGCACAAGCAAAAATCTGTAAGTGGGCTATGGATTAGACAGCTGTATGGTTCTGCATCACTCCATCCTCTCACCCACACAAACACGTGACACAAGCTCCCCAGGTAACACCTTTTTAACTTCTGGTCAATAATCTCAGCACTTTTGCCCTTAAAACATGATGAAGTCTTTTCCAGAGAAAAGCTAAATCTTGCTGAGGGCTAGAGTGAGGTGCTGACTCAGGAGACAAGCTGCTCCCACTGCCCCTGTGTGTGCTACCATGTCAGGTGTATCTGGACACCAGACAACCACAGCACACAAGATGCAGTAGCAGTGGTGTTGGCACCTGTGGCTTTTACCATGTGACAAAATCTATGGGTTTCAGTCAAGTGCTTCAGGCTTCACCTTCCCAGTCACTGTGGATGTACCTCTGAAGCAAACACATTCCAACCTGGCATGCCAGTTTTACCTTCCACAACCTTACATGCTCTTCCTACTTTTGTCAGTGCTCTTCAATCTCACTTATTCATTCTTCACTGTGGGCATTCTGAGGTTCCTTCCATGCAGATTATAATGGTGCCAGACAACACTCATTAGTGTGGCACATTTTATATTTCAAACATCAAGGTGCTTGAAAACCTGGGAGTGATTAACATCTTAATAGCTGCCCAAGACAATTATGAGGCAGCTCCATGCAGCTCATCCAATGCACCTCAGTGTCACTGACAGAACTTCTCTCAGCAGAAGCATCCTTGTCAGCATGACAGCAGGCTAAGATCCCCCAGGCATATGGAGGGATTGAGAAAGGGCAAATTCCTCCTTCAATTAGTGCCAATCACACCCTGAAGCATGCTATCCATTGCAGACTGCACAATGGTTTCCCACATTCAAGTTTTTCCATGCATATTCTGGCACTACCTGCATAAAACATGAAAGGACTGCAAGATTATTTGGCTTTCTGCATCACTAACATTAAAATAACTGACAGCTCATGCTTATGTAACGGATGTCACTCAGTTCAATACTGAGGTTTCAAGCTTTTCAACAATTTCTCAAAGTCTGAGTGACTTGCTTCATGGCTACAGAGAGCTCCCAATGTATAATATCTGCCTCCCCAAATACTCCTTATGAGGAACAAAGGTGTTTTTTTAATGCATAACCAAAGTGACTAGTCCCATATCTCACACCAAGGACGTATCTATAACACCACTGCTAATATTTCAAGCAGTTTAGAAATCAAAACATCTAGGCTGAAAGCACAGTATTCATTATTTGAATTAAGAATATAAGCAGTGCAAGCCCAGAGTGGGTTTTATGAAGCTTAATCAGGGAAAGGAACAGAAAAAAAATTCCCTTTCCATTAAGTTTCAATAAATGTAATAATTGCTGCCAGACACATTGTTCCAAACACTGCAAAGAACATGCTCTATTTTTTTTTTACATTTTTCCCAGTCAGTTAGCAAAAATCAGTTACTGCTACTTGAAATACAATAAAGTTCTTTTCTGAGCACAGGAAATGATAAAAACCAGGGAACAAGGCAGATTGAACAGCTGCCTCTTACTCAGTTAATGAACTCACGGACATGAATATAATTTATTACTCCAGCAGCCCCCATCCTCCAAACATAGCTCCCTGCCACCTGTGGATGTTTTACCTGTCCACGTTTCCGGGGGGCTGCTGCGGCAGCACCACGCGGGTGCAGGCGGCCGGGGTCCCGTTGTGCGGAGGTGGCAGCGCTGCGTGCTGGAGCTGAGGCCCTGCTGCAGGCTCCGACGGAGATGCAGGGCTGGCTGCAACTGGGCAGAGAATACAGGCTTTCAGAAAACCAAGCAGCAGCATCTACCCCATAGATTAGGGTGAAATATTTTCTACAAAAAGGCAGCATAGCCAAGGAGAGTTACAGTTCTAAAAAAGATACGGTTCCCACAGCCCTCCCCGCCCTCTCTACCCAGCCCCATCTCCTTTGTCCACTTTTTGGGCACACAAACCCTGTTTCAGGTCCAAAGTAAACTTCACAGATTTCAAAGCCATAGCTTTGTGAACAAGAACAAACATTTTACACTCATATGTACAATTCCAACATATAAGCCAGTGGGCAAAAGAGGCTGGATCTGATAGAATGCTATGTTGTCACTTTTCAAGTAGCAACAGAGAATGGAATAGAGAAGAACTTGGACGTTGCTAATTCCATGTACTGGTATTTCTTGATTCCAGTGACTCAAAAGGAAATCAAGGAAAAAAATATCTCCATTGGGAAGGACACTTCTTTCAATAAGTACCAAGTTACTACTATAAAACATTGCAGAGAGCAACATAAAATGAGATTATCCTTGTCCCTCATGCTGAGACCATGTGACACACGTTTCTGGCCTGCCTTGTGGTTTTCTTTTAAAGTACAACTACAGCCTTCTGCGTTGTATCTAGAGTCACTCTATTCATATACAGATCAGTAAAACGAAGCAACTGCACCCCACCCTGCTAACATCTGCTACAGTAATTGCAAGGACAATTCAGTATTTATAGTATTGGACACTTCTATCTACATTACCCAAAACTTCATCTGCTAAGCCCCCCCCTTCAGCTGCTCTATTTCACTGTACTCCAAATGTTTGGGCTGAAAATTTTTATACTGAATGTCTTAGTCTGATCTTTGGCAAAGTTTTTATATGGAAGATACTAGAAATAGAGGTTTCTGTGCTTCTACAAATGAAATAACAGGAAAATATATTTTCTTTAATGTTCAGAAGGAAAAAACATAAGAAAAAGTTGTTTGTAAATGCAGAACAACCTCACATTTTGAAGCAGAGGCCATATAAATGAAAAAAAGGTGACAGATTTTTTTTCATTGTGTGATTTGGCCATTCCAATATTCCCATAAATGTTTCCTCAGGTTCTGGCTAACAGTAAGACTTAAGAAAAAAATTTAAAACCAAACTGTTTGTGGAGAGTCAGAGGTCTGTTAAAGTGCAATACAGAAATTCATGTGGCTGGAATATGCCCAGTAATTCATACCTTTAACTCAATGGCACATATAGATAATGCAAAGTCAAATAGTTGAATAGCCCTGAGGCTGAGAGCAGTTTTCTCTTTATTCAGTCACTCCAAGACTCCGGCCTTCCCTTGGGCCTGGGGAAATGGAGATCCAAAGTCTCCTCTGCCTTAGGAAACTGATAGAAGACTACTTCTCATCTATCTCTAGAGGGAAATCACTAGCCAAAGGTTGTAGAACCCTTTATAGTTTTGTGAATTCTTTAAATGTATTACAATACCTTCAACAGTGCCCAAAGACAAAGATAACATCCCAGATGAGTCCTGTATTAATGCCTCACAAACTTTTTTCCCCAAGATAATATGTAAACAAATAAACACAGGTAATAAAATCTGCATCAAAAGGTTTCCTGACAGAACTAATTATAGGGTTCACTTCAAAAATCAAGAAAAGAAAGTCATCCATTAGTCAGGGCTGCTGTCCTCCCTGTTACTCAATCCAAATACAAAGGAGCAAAAGATTAATTTAAGATTTATTATGTTATGCTACAATAGGAGAAGCCATTTGAAAGCTTGACTTCAGTATCTTTAAACAGTGCTAATTCATACCTGGCAACTGTTGAATATAGACTACATTTTATTTTTCTTCCTTTATTGTAAGTATTAAAGTCTTATATAGAAAATAACCTAAAAAGAAATAAAGATAGAGGGAATGTAGTAGAAGGAAAGGGTAAGAGAGTGTGGGTGTGACAAGACAAAGCTTTTGTAGTAGGTCAGTTTTGTCAAAAAAAGAAATGAAGACCAAGTGAATAAGGCAGCAGGTGTGAAAGAAAGAGAAGCGTAGAAGAAAGGAAGGGAGATGTTTAGAACGATGAATGCTTTGTTTTGATGACTAAGAAGAAATAATCTTTTAAGAAAATGGAGTAAATCTGCAACAACCACATCTGAAATAACATAAGAAACAAACTGTACAGTCAGTTTATTTTGTGATCCAAATCACAAAATAATTTCTTTTCACTTTATAAATATTTAAACTTGTTAATAAAATTTATTTTTGCTAAAGACCAATGTGACGAAGTTGTTAAAACACTGGATTCATTTAGTAATGGGTAACTAACTATACAGAAAGGCTAAGTAATTAATGTCTGCTAAGATTTCATTTATACTCCTCTCATAGTTTTTTTTACTGCAATTAGTGTGCCAGGTTTCAGAACTGTTTCTCAAATCATAGTGCTCAGTAGGCATATATTCACCTGTTCTGGTCAGGGCACAGTTAAACACAATACCTGCTTCTCCAGTAATATTTGCCTTTGATATATGTCCATTTTGCTGGTCATTGGATTTCTACAAAGGAAGGACAATTTTGTAAATTAAAAATGGCACTAAGGAAAAAAAAAAATGTGTTCAATATTTACACATGTTAAGTAGCAGCACTGACCTTATCTACGGCTTCTACACGCCTAGTTCTCCTCATGATCTCCTCAAGCCTCTACAATGAAATGTAAAGGGGTAAAACAATGTTTGCTGGCATTAATTTGAATATCTGTCTCCCAAACCACAACTGCTTGTCATTTATCAGCTGTATCTGTTTATTGCAAAAAAATGCATTATTTATTACTGCTGGCAATATTCCCTTCATTGTCGCATCAGGCCAATGAGGACTGAGCCTGAGAGCACATTTCTATCATTTACTCCCTACTGCTGAAGCGAAAACAGACTGCTAAGGCAAAACCAATCACAGTTTCTCTGCATGGACTGAGTTACCTTCTTCCTTTCCAAGCGCTCTTGCTCTTCTCTTTGGAAATGCTTTTCACGTTCTAATCGAATCCTCTCGGCCTCTTCCCGCAGGCGAGCTTCCCCGCAGGCGAGCTTCCTCTTCTTTCTATGTTGGTGGTAAAAAAAAGAAATGAGGAATAATTTACTATTTAAGGACAGTTTTACAGCCTGTGCCTAATTATGCATATCTGCAACACTCTGAAAGGACACTTTTGGGGTTTACAAATCACCAAAAATCTTTTCAGACAGAATTGCGCATTTCTTGATTAATCTCCGTGTTTTGAGTAGCATTAAGAGAGAATAACTAAACAAGGGACATCATGTTTGGTTCTGTGCCCATTCCAGAACACACCAGATGACAAATCAGGAACGAATTTTCTAGCCTTCAGCATTAAAACAGCAGCCAGGAAAGTATTGGAGAGATCAATTTTTTTGTGTGGTTAATATTTTTGAGAGTAAAATAAAGGCAGTAGAATGTTTTGTTTGGCCGACAGAGTAACTGTTCAATGAGACCAAGGGCAAACAGCCACAGGCCCATTTGCACAAACTTTCCATTTCTGCTTTTTAATTAAATGCAAAATTTGTCTGGAATATACCGTAGAGGGGCCTTTCTCCCTGACCATGACACTGTTATATGATGGAACTACTACAATAGATAATTTTTTGCATCTCTAGCATCCAAAAAAGCCTTGGCCACGTGCTGTCTCTGAGTGCTAAACTGAGTTAAGCCTCAGTTTAACATTTCAAAGAAAGCAGCACACATCTTCTGAAAAAGAAGAATGGAGTTTCTCAGCTATATTCACTAACACAATCCTTTAAACATTTATTATCAGAAGCACACATTTGTACACCAGAAGAAAACCTCGTGTCTACAAGGCAAATTGAAGTGTTGGATTGTGGAAGAATAAAGCACATGCAAGAAGTAAGAGGACATGTGAGAAGGAAAGAATCTTATCCAGAATGCTTACCACGGCCTCTCCTGAAGTCAGTAAACCAACATTATGCCCATCAAAAATGAAAGCACTTGAAAAATTTTCATTTATTAGCATATGTCTTTTGACTAGCTACTCTGATTTCAGGAGTACTGGGCCAGATAAAGGTTCTCCTTGGTTTGATTAAATCAATCCCTTCGCATGAGCCCCACACAAAAGCAGTATTTGACACAGGACCAGAACTCAGCAGTACTACATCTCCAACACAGTGAATAGTTATCTTTGCATCTGGACTTGCTGTAACTGTTGGGACAAAGAATTCTCTGGTATAACAGCATTTATCAAAATTCCCCAATACAACCCTATTGATTTTTTTCATCACAGTTTATGAGGAGTAAGAAAGGATTTGTTCTAAATACATTGTAAAGTGAAAGAGGAAAAAAACCCCTCAAAATTCAACTCCATACCACGTGTGGAATTGCATTTCTATGGAATTAACTCTGTCCCAACAGATAGCATTTAAATTTTAGATATTGCTCTAATTTAGATGCTATGTAAGAGGTGCTGCTTCACCCACTTCACTGCCAGCTAGATTGGCCCAGAAATTCCAAGAGGGAAGCATACTTGTTTCTGAATGCGCTCCATCTCTTCTTTCTCCTTCTGCTCTCTCTCTTCTGCCTGGCGGCGCAGTCGTTCCTCCTTTTCCCGCTCCTCTGCATCCCTCCTTTGCTTTTCTGCTTCTTGTCTGCGAGCTTCCTCCTCTTCGCGGCGAGCTCTTTCTTCAGCTATCCTCTGGGACAACTCTTCTTTCTTTTGTCTGCAATCATGAAAAAAGCATAAGAAAAACAGGTAATAAAAGTAGGGAGAAAAGCCAAACCACCAGGTTCCTGATCCAGCCCTGCTTGATAAAGGTGCACTGCTGCCCTATTCCTAAGCTGTCTGTTCTGCTTCCCACAGGGGCCAAACATGAAGCCCTAAGGAATATAAAAAACTTTGCAATGCAACACCAATACTTCCCCAGCATACCCCTACCTAATCTATGGCTTGCATGCCCCTCATCCTTGTATTATGAAGTAGTTAACTTTTCCTCTTCACCTTTGAAGATTCCCAAATTATTTAGGACTTTTTAGTGTATCTTCCCAGCTGAAGAATCCTCACCTGTTTAGTAGATTTTCACATGGAAACTGTTATGTACTTGTTACCTTCTTTGATGTCTGTCTGCACTTATTTTTCTAGTTTTACTGATTTTATTATCACAAAAAATATAAAACACAACATTCAAACTGTAGATTTATCTTGATTAGTTCAGAATGACATTTTCATATTGTTCTTGTTTCTATTAACTTGTAACAGTTCATTTCCTTTGTCAACCATGACTCACCTGATACTTTCAAATATTCAACTCCAAACAAGATCTCTTCCCTCAGAAATAATTCAGCCAGAGACCAACACCAGGAGTCAAGTTAGATTTATTTCCTACACACATTCTTCTATGCTCATCAGCTTCCATTAACATGGAAGCATTAAAATTCAATATAAAATGTAAGAAATTCAGCTTCCATTTTATAGCATAACAATATAAGATATGTCTCAAATTCACAACTGACGTATCTCACTGAAGACCAACAACATCTCGCTGGCCGCAACTCCTTTCAAGTTCTTTTTGCACAGACACTGGCAACTCCTTTCACTGTGAAAGCTGATTTTTCTTTTTATTTTTGATCTTTGTGTCATAATATTTGTTCACTGTATTACTCTTATGCCACAGAAGCTTTTTTTTTTACTTTAAAACTCTTTTTGAGATGGTCAGTGTTCTGAGCCTTTTGGAAAGCCAGGCTATTTTAACTGGTTCTGCCTTGTTCCTATCAAGAAGTCCAACAAATTCCAGGGGCATGGCAGCCCTCTAAAAAAACATTCAACTTATGCTGCAGCCAGAGTCATGAGTATCCAGATGGGCTACTCATTTGCTATTAGAAAGTGAGATGTAACATTAATTACTCCCCAAAACTGCTGGGAGGGTGTGTGGGATGTCTTCATTTTAAATGAGAAAATTAAGAGGTCCAAGTCACAACAGCTGCACACCTGAAGTACCACCCACAAGAGAGATCTTACAACTCAAAGAGGCTGTGCTGATCACAAAGCTGAAAACAGCCATGCAGAATTTGCTAGAGGGAACAAAAAAAGCACAGCTTTGTTAATCTCTGAGGAAACAACAAATCACAACTGCAAGGATCTGCTCTCTCCTCCTGGCCTATTTTTAAAGCACCACTTATTCTAAGTTTTAACCTTACAGACCTGCTTAGGTATATACTGCACCAACTGAAAAAAACAACTGGAAAATATGGTTTTGGGGAGGAACTTGTGCCTCCTGCACTTCAGTGCTGTGCTTCGTATACAAAAATTTAACAGCAGAATAAACACAGGAAGCTGCTGAAAACATATCTTCTCTACAGCAGAGGCCTAGAATTACCTTTCAAGCTCTTCTCTCTCCCTCCTTTCCTGCTCCTCCCGTTCCCGCTGCTCACGAGCAAGGCGCCTCTTTTCAGTCAGCAGCCTTGTTGCTTCTTCAGGGTCAGTTGTACCTGCAGAAGGCTTGGGCAGTGCTGGAGCTGGAGAAAGAGCTGGTGGAGCAGGAGGTAGGGATGGGCTGGCTGCTGAAACAAATGGGAAAGAAAATTAGTTTGTACAGACACAGTAGCCAAGATGTCACTCTCTTGAAAGGAACGGAAAATACTTCTGAATGCACTGCAAAGTGTTCTCAAGCTCATGTGTTTTTTAAATAATTCAGAGGAGGAGAATGTTTCTAGATGCTAGAGGTTCACATACCTTCAGGGAAGTTTGGTTTTGCAGGATATGTGAAAGCACCTGCAGCTGAAAGTGTACACCAAATTTTCTGTCAGAACAAATGCTGACAGGTGCTTAATAGGAGTTACGCTGGCTCAGCAAGTCCCTACCATCACATTCCTTAAGCTTGCTCAATTCTGTTTGAAGAGCAGAAATAAAACATTGTGAAATTATATTTTCTTCTTTCTGATCATCCACATCTGAAGATCAGAGACAGAATTTTTGGTGACTTGGTGATCTCAAAGATCAGCTGCCTGAAGTGATCTGCACCAAGGGTAGGACGCCAGCTGTCATCATTTTTTGCAGCTGCTCCAACCTGAGGCAACTCATGGGACACAACTTTTTAAATTTTGACACAATTGGTGAACTGTGGCTTGTGTTCAAATCTCAGCAGTGCCTTCATATAAATTCTTTATTCAGGGCCAGTTTTCGTCCATGTGGCAGAGAAGATGTTACAGGTTTTTTTCAAGTAAAAGGCTAGTTCATATTTCTGTAAGTTTGCCTGCCATTCTCTAGCACAGGTACAGAGTGACTCATCACCTTTTCTCTGGACACCAGGGACCCACAAGCTAATGTTAGGAAGCATTCCCAGAGTAATCCCATCTGGTAATGCAGGCAAACATGGAGAGGGAAGACTTTGAACTGTCAATGAAATCAGATTCTGACCCCAGTAATATATATGTAAAATAAGTCACAAGGACCAGCAAGCAGATGACTTTAAATCTGCATTTCTAATCTATATTTCATCCCTAATATATTGGGATGTGACAATTTTCCTTACATCACTAACAACTTCTAAAGAGGGGTTTCCTCCCTGACTCCCCCCTTCCTATACCTCATCATGTAAACAAACATAAATTCAGTTGTTTTCTGTGCTGAATTCCCATCTGTAGACCTCCCTGCTTTCCTCTTCTATCAGCTAAAAACTACAGAGGTATTTCTATAACTCCTCCAGGGTTTGACCATGAATTCAAATGATACTTCTACACCAGTAATTTAAAGAGTGCCGGGGCCTGTTCTCTAGCCTTGAGGTGAGCTGGCACAGTTTGGCACTAGCTCAGTGGAGCACTATTCTCTCACGTTACCAAAACAGGTATTCAGCCCGACCCCAGGGAACAGTGCGGACCCGGGCTGACCTCCAAGACATAGCTGGGACTCAGAAAATTCTGGGATGTTGAAATATAAAAAGGTAAGCAACTTGATCACTGAATTTTGGGAGCCATTTAGAGCCATGCTCTTAGTAGCCCTGGGGACAGAAGGTAAAAAAATGAGAAGCTGCAATTACAGCCTGGATCAGAAACATACCAGAGAGCCTTTGTAATTGTAAACAGTATAAATGACAGAGTTCCTGCACCTCAGCCCTTTTTAATTTACTAACACGGGCCAAGGCAGGGCTGTTGCTCTGAAGGGAGCACAGCTTTGTGCTGCTTGGGGCTCGCTTCTTGCCTCAGGTGCTGAAGTTGGCAGCAAAACAAGCAGCTTAATGCACACCTGCCCTGCTGTCACAACAGATAACACCCAAAAGACCTTGAAAGCTTCATTGGCATTAGTGAAGTTGTGTGTGAGATTTGCCTGCAAAAGCTTGAACAGCTTCATCAGCAATTGCTACCTGCTGACCCCCTGGCTGCTGGCCAGCAGGCAGCAGAGCCACACCAGTGAAAGGCCAGTGCTGTTACCTGTAGGGAATGAGCTGTATTCACCTGCAACACAGCCCCAGGAGAATTAGCAAATCAGCAACATTCCTCTAGCCCCAAATGCTGTACTTGCACCTCTCTAGACCCTTGAATTCAACCAGCAAATAAGTTTTGGCAGCTGGGGGCTCCACAGGCAGTACAAAGCCATCCTATAACCTCACATGTAAAATGCTCTGCCTGAGGTCTCCATCTTTGGTCCCAGCCAAAGCCCTCCTCTGGCTTTGGGAGAACACATTCAATTTGAAGGGCTGCTCATCACTCTAACTATAGCACCCTCCTCTTTCATTTGTCTCCACTTCATATTCTTATTTGTATTCTTTATTGTGAATACAAGCTGCTTGACTTTTGAATACTTTTATCACACATAACCTGTTTCAGTACTAAGAGACCTTGTCACAAACTCAAATTTTGACTGACACTGCAAGGAAGTGGAGTCTCTCTTCCTCCTGAACTAAACAGTCAGACAAGCATGATGGTTTGCCTGGTCTGTGCCTTATACTGGAGGGCTATAACTTGTAAATACATGCAAAGTTCTCATCTCTGAAATGGTCTTAAAAGGAAGTTTTCTTCTGAAAAGGAAGCAAGCAAAAGGTGGCAATTAAATCTCCTTTGCATGCCCATGGCCAACAGACACATCCATCCACCCTTTTTGTGGGGTTGCACCTTTTGTAGTAGGATCTGGGTATCAGACAGGAACTACTGTAACAGAACTTAATAAAACAAAATAAATCAATTCATGACAGTTTTTTTTTTCATAGAACAAGCCCAAACTACACTTGCTGCAGTTAAATGCAAGATTTCTAATACTTAAAACTGTTATCTGAAAGGTAACTGCAGGGAAGTCTACAAATTTTAAGTTCAGAATCCTAACTAACATAATTTGTTATCCCAGTGGTCACACTGGACTTTCTATCTCATCTGCAAGAGACAGTTTATGCCGTATTTAGAATGAATTAAAATGTCTGCTAGAAATAAACTATATTTTTCCATTTTCATATTTACCTTTTTCCCTTTCTACACTTCACAGTCATTATTTTATTTTTTGTGTTCATCTTTTTCTGCATTGCTGCTTCTCAGGGTTGGTAGAGTTTGGTGAGGGTTTCCTGTTCATTTGTTAACTAATTATTTAATAACTCATTTTCCCTTAAAAATTCCCCCTATTCCTTTTTACTCTTTTCCTTGGTTCTTTGCATTCTACTATACTCTGCTAATCTCTCCTGATATGGTCCTCTTGCAATATTATACATAAGCTAGTAATTACATAAGTTAGTAGTGTTACCAGCACAAGTGCACTGTGTATAACATGCTCACATGAACTCATGTGATGGCTTCTTGCACTGTAAAGTCTTCAGACCATTAAAATTCTATTTCAACAGTTTGTAAAGAAGCCATGTTATGATATGGAGGACAAAATTCCTGTCCAAAAGGGCAGAGAAGAGGCTTGTGAAGCCACACTGTGTGAGGCAGCTTGGCATGTTGTTTTGACTCAGAAGCAGGAGGGCTTCAACCTGTCTACAATTTCCTCATAATGAACATACATCTGCAGGAGTGTTGTGAAGAAATTCAGACTAACCTTTGACAGAAAACTACATCATTTCAGGGAAAGGGAAGGAAAAATATGAAACATTCCTTTTCCTAAAGCAGGATGTCTCCTTACCTTGAGTTAGCTCTGCTTGGACAGTGAGCTGTTCCTGACTCGCGGGTTCTCCAGCACCTGCTGATGCTCCTTTACCCTCTTCTGTCCTCACCTCATTGGCCTTTTCAGCCTCCTTTTCTTGTCTTTTCTTCTCACTCTCTGGTTTGATTTCTTTTTTGACTGGCCGGATGTTGCCAGGAGAGGGAGGACGTGTCTGAGCAGAGGAAACTTTGGAGGAACCAGGTGGGGAAGTTATCTGCTTGGGTGTCCCAGGCAAAAAAGGCAAAGACTTTGATGCATGCCTGTGTAATCAAAGAGTGACAATGCTGGTTTTCACTTCTACTACCATAGCAGCTAAAAATGAAATCACTTCTGCGTTTTTTTCTATCAAGCAGGACTGCTGGCACAACTGATTTGGTTTCATGCAAAATGTCTCCCTCCAGCTCTCCAAATGTGTGAGCACTGAGCCCTGCCAGAAAGGGAGAAACCAAGTGATTTCCTGCCCCTTCCCCTTCTCCAGAGCAGTAGCAGTTTTTTTTTTTAAAGCAGGGCTGTCTTTCCTTTTTTTGCAGAGAAAAAACATCTGCATCATCAAATAAGTTTGCCATGTTTCACATTTAATTAATAGAACAATCAGAGCTGCCTATAGCTCATGTCCAGCTAAGCATGTACTTGACTTACCAAACTGGAGAGGGAGCTGATGATCTAGCTTTGAGGCTGGAAGTAAAATGACCTCCTTTAAAGTTGGCTGAGAAGCTGGATGACAAATGGTCCTTTTCTCTTTTGTCAGTCTATAGCTCGGCAAACAAAAAGACAAAGTCAAGCCAGAGTTCACACAGCTAAAGAAAGCAAAGCAAGCTCAGTTAAGGATGAGGAGTTGGGGGGCTGAGAAAAAGTAATGCTGAGTCAATGATTTCTACAGCTTGTTTAACAAGTTCCTTAATATAGCCCTGTAACCTGACACCATCTTTGTCAGTGAATATGCATTTGACAACAAGGACCCTTTTCAATCATTCTCTCCTGTCCTGAAATGTAATGGGCTAATTTGCAGAGGTTTATTTTCACACAGGCAAAAAAAAAATTACCTTTTATAGTTTGATCTTTGCTGATTGCCACAGAGTATCTTCCACTACATCCCACAAGCACAGGATTTCTTTAGCAGAAAACACAAAACAAACTCCCCCTGCCCTTGGCTCATACTTGGTCACAGCCTTCCTACACAGCACAACATTTTGGGTTCATGCTTACAAGTGAACACCACAGATGTCCTCAAAGCTTCCAAATATGGTAGACCAATCCTATTCTTTCTTTTCTTGGATGATTTTACAGCACATACTTTTTGCCATTGGTTCTTATACATGATAGTAATTCCCTTTATCCTTCTTTATTTTTAAAAAATAAAATCCTAAGTTGAGAAATATTTCTAGTAATACAAACCAGAGCTACAATAGAACTATTGCTTTAAGGGAATATATGAGAATATAGGCATCTATTTACTTCCCATATTTAAATCTAGACTAAAAACTTCATGGTTTTAGAATAATGAGCTCAGATCTCAAGAATCTAAAGTCTGAAGAACAGGAATACTGGAAAGTACACTGAGCTGTCAGTCAGCCAGCATGATGCAGAGGCTGCTGCACATCACCTTGGCTGGAGCTTAAACACAACCCCTGCAGCAGGTGTGTCATGAGGCTTGAGAGCCACACCAGCTGAAACCTGTGCAATGCTCGTCCCCTGAACTGAAAGCCAGGTTAACAACTGGAAAAGAAAGACTGAAAATAACTCCATGAGCACATCATGTGCTGAGTTATCAAAGTAAACACAAGGAGAATAAATGCATTACAATCAACAAGAGTTTTAGCTTGCTAGCAGTAACTCTGTATTGGATTTGCTTTATTAGTACTGAAAGTAGAGCATCAGAAAATTTTTCTTCATATAAATAAAGTTAACAGCTGAACTCATACAGAAGTTTGCAGAAGCATAAACGATTCTCCACGTCACACAGGCTACTGGAAACAGCTCTTAATTCACTCATTTTATATTAACAACAGTTTTCTATCACCTCCACCAAAAAGTAACAACCTTTCTTCTTTTTAATCTGGGAAAAAAAAAAAAAAAAGACCAAACCCCAAACCTCTTGCAATCAGAAGGACTCAAGAGGAAGAACCATTAGGTCAGCGGAGTGCAATGCTCTATGCACACAGTAGGAAATTTCTCTAGAGATAATACCAAGGCTATGCCTTAGCTTAAACTTCAGTATACTACCCTAAAGATGAAGTATTGGCTATGACTCATGACACTTTGATTAACACTGCTTCCAACAAGGATGTCAATAGCAGCACTGTCTCTTGACCTTCTGCCCATCAAACAAAAATGCAAGCACCTCTTGCACAATGTTTTGCAGAGATGACTTCAACTCTTCTCACACTCTCAGGCTGTAAGTACAAGAAAAATGTAACTGCTCAGGTTCACCAAATGAATCTGAACTGGGTCTGACTGCATCCCACCGGCTTGGAGCACAGTCAACACAAGTTTGGTCTACTGTTTTGATGTTCCTAAAAGCTCAGATCAGCCCTAGTACTGCTACTAAATCATTCAGAATGAACCAGTGGAAAGCCTTGTTTATAAACCATGATCCTAAACCAACTTCTTCCTTCCCAGTGGGCGAAAGTTTACTAGCCTGGTCTCCTAAGAAAGCCCAGATGAAGTGAGAGTACTCTGTGTACTTGTGTATAGAGACATGGGAGTGCACGCACTCCCCCCCACCTCTTTATCTTAGTGGCTCAGCTGAATTTGCTGGAGGCCTCAGAAGACATCAAAATCTGGAACCTCTGTGAAAACAGCCTGCTGGGAAAAACTATTTCCCCACTGAAGGAGAAATGGCAACACCATCTTGGGCCTTAAAAGGCAGCAAAGAACACAGTTAAGAATGGGGCACTGTGCCTTGTGAGAAGCTAAGGCATCTACTCTGCAAACACAGGTGTTTGGAAAACATCAGTGCTTTTCCACACGGATTCTTTGGTGAGCAATCAGGCTGTGTCACTACATATCCTAGTGTGTTTCAGTTAGAATCCAGCCAACTATGACACAAACTGGAGAGGGTGGGAACAGTGCAGAGGGGAGGAAGTATCCCTGCAGCTATTCCAGTCCCAACAAGCAGTGCAGTCATGGCACGGGACACAGAGTACTTGTGCAGCTGCCAAGCTTACCCCTGCAAGGTGCGTTGTTCGCCGACGTCCAACGGCATCAGTAGAAGCATAAAGTTTTGCTCGTTCTCCTGAATTCCTACAGTTCATGGCCTTGTAGGACAGAGGGCTGAGGGGGCTGCAAGATGCTGAACGGGGACAAAGGGGGATAACTACGGTGTTGGTTGGTTTGGTTATTTATTAGTTTTAATTACAGAGTAGCATTGGAGAATTGACAGAGGAAAGCCAGCAGGAAGAGAAAAGACCGAGAAAGACAGAAAAGAAAGAAGGTGTTAATACAAAGAGAAATGAATAATTATCAAGTCAGAACCATCATTTGACACTTTTGCTTGGCCACACATACAGTAAGGATGCAAGTTCAGTAGATGCTCATGCAATCCGTTTGTAAACTAATAATTTCTTTCTAAAAAATTAAGAAGTATGCCATGATACTGGATAGCAGATAGTATTTTCCCATTAAGTTTTTGTACAACTGGTGGTTCTGAAAAAGCAGTAGAAACAGTGGCTGGTCTGCCAGATTAGCTTAGTACATACATTGGAATGAGTTTCAATTACATTCAGAATAGAAAGCTATCAAATGGAATCAAAATGCCTAGGAATTGCATTGGAAGTGAAGTAAAACTAACGGAGACATACACACAAAGATCAAAACTCATTAACAATACAAAACAGTTTCAACTAGGAAATTAATGAAATTGCTGTCTACATTTTACAGCAAGTGATTTGTTTTTAAAAATTCTTCTTTTTAGGAATGTTTTATCCCATCATATTTTTTGGTATTTCTAGAATAACAACTTAAATACATTTTCAACAGCAAACTATTTTACACATTTAAAGAAAAAGCAGGCTTACAACAACAAATCAGCTTGGAAATTAGAATTTGAGTAACCAGGATGGCAGCTTTTGTTGGTTTGCACAAGCAAAAAGACTATTACCAAAAGATCTGACAATAGCAGGTATCATATATACAGTGCTCTGATTTTATCTTCAAAGAGAGCTTTAACTGCCAAACATGTCATGGGAAACTTCTTGCAGCAAAGTGTTCTTGGACTTTCACTTGATTTAACTGAAGGAGAAGATTGGGAAAAACTATGCTATTACTGCGAAGTTTTATTTTTCTGCTCCTGTTTGTCTCTTCTGGTCATTTAATTGAGTCTTAGCACAATTATTACCCTTAAGGAAAAAATAGGGACTCTATATAATATCTTCCTATTCTTTTTTTTTTTCCCATGTCAAAGAAATTTACATCCTCTATTGCCTTAATGAAAAGCCAAACCAAACGAATATTTCTTGCCTGTATATCCCTCTCTGATCACACTTGAAAGAAAGCAGTTCCACATACAGTTAATTCTTCCAGTCTTACAAAAGTACAGCTGCTGCTACAGGAAGAGCTCATAGACTTAACAGTACTAATGCTGCAAATTCTCCTGCACCAAGAGATTAACATTATGAATAGAGTCTCACGTAAGGGTTACAGCAAAGGCACTAATGCTTGCCTTATAGTTTATAGGGATTTATGTTTAATGAGGAATTATGACTTAAAAACAAGCAAGAAACAAGAAAACAGGGGTTTTTGTTTGTGTTTTTATTTTGGTTGAGTCCATCTAAGCCAGATAGGAGGCAGTGGCATAATGCTTTACACCACTTATAATTTATGTGGCTCCTGCTCTGTGAATCAATTCCCCTTGTGCATGCTGATTATCTGAAGTTACCACCAAGGATGACAGTGCAAGTATTAAAAGAGAAACAGTTCATTTTCATTTGTGAAGTTGCCAAACAATGCTTTAGGCAGCACTTCCAATGATTCATGTACTAACAGGACTACATCTATTCAGAGGAGCTTTTTGAAAGCTATTTAAAAAACATTTTAGTTTTGAAGGATTTATTTTTAAAAAGATCCCAATGTACTCTTATGCTGGATGTCCCTAATAGCTCACTTAAGATTTAAATACATGAATCCATATTTAACTCAGTTTGGATTTTTTACATTGCAATTTATTTTTACAGCCAAAGGGCAGGGTAACTTTCAAGGGAATAATGGCAGGCTGGGATGACTGGAATACTCTGAGCACAGCTGTGAGCCCTTGCCATCACCTGATCATTAATCTCCAGGAAGCATCCTGTATGAAAGGGCTGAAGTTATAGCTCCTAGAGAATAATACCTGGAGAACAATGAGCAGATGGATTGTTCTTCTGGTGGTATAGTTCCAGTTAGCATAGGGAAGGAATTTCAAGGAACTGCCTTAGACTGAACTGACAAATCAGTCTTTCCTGCTACTTGTAGCCTTTCTCAATGTTCCACTCAGTTTAGAGCTGGTTGTGCGGTATAAACAAGAGCAGTCCCAAAAAACTTCATGCTTGCTCCAGGAACCACTTACATGATGTGTTCTCAACTATTCCCTAATGAAGAGCTGAATTTCCAATATCCTTCATGGTAGGTGATATTAAATATTAATTTTACAAGTTATTGGTTTTGAAGAGTAAAAAAGAATTCTGTGCTTATTGATTCTACTATTTGCAGACTATCATCCACATTTTTGCTCCTACAGCACTACCCCCGTGGAAACGTACCACAGCCTAATTAGTTATAAGAGTTCTTAAGTGAAAGCTTCTTTAAAAGTAATCTTAGCAGATCTCTGTTCCTTCTTACCTTCTATGTTCTTTAATTAGAATAAAAATCCTGTCCACAACAGACAAGAAAGACTTGCCTAGACTTACAATAATATATTGCTGCACATGCTGAGGGTATAATGGTAAAGTTCCCAGTGGATGATTATAAAACATCCTATGAAAACAGAAGAGGCACCTGTCACCTGCCTAAAATACATGATAAGCGAGTATGCCCTGGTTGTATTTGGAATACAGTTCTGCCTGGGCCTTCAATTACCACCTGGCAATATCATCACATTTCTGCACATACATTTTCCCTCAGTAAGTGCTATCAGGGACCTGTTCTGGGGTTGGCACACAACGTTACAATTATTATAACCTCACTAAACTTGCACATTTAACTTCACAGGTATTAAATGCACAGTAGCTAGGGCCTATTTTTATAAAAGTCTAACTCTCTCCACGTGGGAAGTGCTCTGGCAGGGGCTGAAACTCCTTTGCAGCAAGCAGCTCAGAGCTTTAGCAGTGGATGTGCTAAATCAGCTCTTTCCAACAAGGTGTGCATTTGCTTAAACAGCCATGGTCAGCGTGATGTTGTTGCCCTGCATGTTTTGTATTCATTTATTGCATTGATGAAGAGGCAAAAGTAAGAAAGAGGCATAGCAAACAACTACGGAGAAGCTTTCATGCTGTCATGCACACTAATCACGGACATTCAAGTTCATTCTGGGATGCTACCATAGATTCATAATTAGATCAATGACTTTACAACATCCGGCAAGGAATCTGGAAAAATAAACGTCTGAGACGTGAAGCCTCTGTTCTTATAGGATTACCTGCATCTCCAGACAATGCAGCTGTGCTTTTACTCCGAGCCAGGAATGAGTGTGTGGGCGTCAGGAGCCTGCTAACGATGCTGCTCTCCCATGGACTGAGCTGGAGACGGCGAGCTGAACGTGCACCATACAAGCAAGATGTTAGATCAAACACCTCACATATAACCACATGCTGCAGAGTGTTAGTACTGTTTTCTCACTACTGCATACCATGAAAACCTTGAAACTGTCCACAATAGTTCGGTGGTTTGCATTTTATTATTACTTCTTTTTAGCAGAAAAATTCCTATAGAAATATGTACATAGGAACATTTAATTTATGTTACTGCCTGTGGCATTGCAGCAAATTGTTACCAAATGAACACTAATATTTTGCACATCTGCCACATTCCATGTTAGGAATGACAGGATAATTTCTCTACTAGAAGGACAGTTGCCACTCCTAAATATAGACTTCAACATTTTGTGTCCCAAAGTCTTCCTATACAAAGGATATGTAGTCTTCCAGTTGCACTAAAACACCTTCTAAAGTTTACCAGCCTACCTAGAAAACACAGAAAAGGTTGCTTACTGCTATAGAGAGAATTTTGTCAATTTTGTCAATGAGGTTTTATCAAAGTATTGCAAAAGGGTACTGCACCTCAACTGCAGATACCAAGCTCAACAGCTACAGTTGTCTCAGTAATAATAGGTGAAGCCACAGAAAACATTTTGATCATTAATTCTCTGTCCAAAGATCCTGCTAATGATCACTTTCCATGCAGAACAGTAAAAAGAATAAACTTTTCAAAGAGTTGCTCTGTTTTTAAAATGCACTACATGTTGACCTGGCTGCAATTGCACTGGTACTTTGCTTTTTCCAGTGTTGTCTAATGCAAGCATAGCCTGTCAATAGAATCCTGTTATCTTGTAAAGTTTATTGGTTTTGTTGTTTTTTTTTTTAAATGCTAACTAAACATTTATCATGGTGAAGTATTAACCAGAAGAATCCTGTAAGTTACTTTCTGTATTGAATTGGGTATTTCCTTGATATTCCAATACAACAAATTGCTTTATAATTTGTTGTATAATTGCATCACAAGTCAAAACATTCAACTACTTCCCAAAGTAGTTCATTATAGTAAGCTTACACTATAGCAATAATCTTGATATTGCAAGCAAAATCAGGTCTTCTTACATCTCAGCATTCATTTGCCTTAGTTTAATGTTTGCAGCAACAAAAGTGTAGCTTGAATTTATGAGGCTCGATCTCTATAACATTCACTGAAGTGACTGGCTGTAACAGACTTGACATTCATTTGCATTTTTAAAGGAAGAGAGCCATCACTTTTAATAAATGTAAACTCTGAATCTGTCTTTAATCTACTCTTTGCTGAGCCCCATGAAAAGAGAGGCTGATCTCAATCTCCTCCTATGAAAATATAATTGCTTAATCTGCCCTCAGAGCTGTTTTGCACTTCTCATATTGCTCCCTTAAATTCCACTGATGCAATAAGGGGCATTACTATAGAAATACAGGACTCTCAAACACAGCAGGCTCCTTTCATAACCGTCCTTTTATATAATGTACTATTGCCAGAGCTTTCTCTGATTAATGATTCCATTCTGCAATGGTAGAGATCATAGAAACGCACAAAATACCCTACAGAGACCTCCATTACAGCACACACATTATCATTAAGCTTGCAGTTTAACAATGAAGAAATCACAGAGATACCATTAAACTGGATGCAGTAATGGTAAAGACTTTGCTTCCTTCCATCTCCAGGCACCATGCTTGATGTGATCACTGTTTAAAGCTACTGTTGCAAGACAACAGATTCTTTTTTATGGTCTCAGGCTTTACTAGGTGAGGCTCACAGGTATGATTTTGGATGAGTTTGGAGAACTCTAGTTGGAGAACTTAATTTAACATAAAGATCACACAACTTCAGAAGGCAATCCCTGATATTTTAGGCCAGTAAACCAGTACTATATATACACCATCCATTTCTTGGAGTTTATCTTTACATGATAAGTAAACGCCACAATGTAAATATGGCCCTTACATCACATATAAGCCCCCAGAGATGAAGTAATCTCAAGAGGACGCAGCTAAGAGACTGATGATTTACAATACCAATGTCTCACCTGCCACGTCTTGCATGTCCCTTGTCCTAAAGATTAGTATGGTTTAATTATCTTTGCCCCTAACTCAGGGGAGTTTGTATCCACATCCCCTACTGGAAGAAATCACATGTCCACAGCATCCAGCTGAAGCACTGGGACAGCATGTGGAAGTGAGCTAGCTGATATGCACAACAGTGGACTAAAACCAAAAACTTTCTTCTCCATATAAGCAATAGGCCTAGTCCAGAGATGTCAAAATAGCTTCAGCCAGAACCTTGGAGCGAAGCCTCCCTGATTCTCTACAATGGGTTTAGATCAGAGTTTGTTTAGATGCACCTTGGCTTTGTGGGCCAGGGTCATCACATAATGAATTTTCCAAATGCACAGCTCCCTGAAAGCATCACACTCCGTGCATTCAATATGCATTTGAACAGATTAGTGCAGCGTTCACCTAGAACAGACAAACTTTTGCCCACTGGGTTCCAACTACATGAGTATTAATACCTAAATGCATTGATCAGCTTCAGTTTGGCTCAAACCACACTGGAGCAAAACTGAGTACCAAAGAAAGAACATCCCAAAATAATAAGATAATCTTTAAGACAATGAAGTCAGCTTTTTTTTTCTTGCTCTTTTTGTTTTTTATGCCTCAGGGTGACGTTTTCAAGATTTAGTCTTTCAAACCATCTGACAGACAAGGGGAAGCAGTACTTTTTGTTCTCATCCCTCTAAGGGCAATTTCACAGAATTATAGAATGGTTTAGGTTGCAAGGGACTTGAAAGATCACTAGTTCCAATCTTCCTCCCATGGGCAGGGACGCCTTCCATTAGACCAGGCTCCTCAAAGCCCCATCCAACTAGACCCTGGGTATCCACAATTTCTATGGGCAACCTGTTCCACCAACCTATCTCACCAGCCTCAGAGTGAAGATTTTCTTCCTAATATCCAATCTAAACCTTTTTGTTTGAAGCAATTACCTCTTGGTCCCATTACTACACGTCCTTGTAAAAAGTCCTTCCCCAGTTCTCTTGGAGGACCCTTTTGCTGTAAAGTCTCCCTGGAGCCTTCTCTTCAGTCTGAGCAAGCCCAACTCTCTCAGCCACAAGCAGGTTATTTTTGACAGATTAAAGATCCTTATAATCTTCCTTGTAGCTAAAAACCACACAAAAGTTACAGGGAGCTGGCAAAAGTAAACTCATTACAATCATCTATATTTGTCTTCAGGATATACAACCTGAATACTGGAAAGTTGTCTTAGCAGCAGCAGAATAATTTGCAAGTAAGCAAACAGTAGCATTTGATTAGTTGTAGGAACAGATGGGAGGCAGGGATTTAACAGGCCTTCTGATGAGCACCACAAAGGAGGCTCTCATTGAAAAATGTGGTGTTTGCTTATACACATACACGATATGGTGTGTAAATGGGGGAAACTGCTCTTTCAACAGGAAACAATACTGGAACCCCTGAATGTCTTCTATAATGGTTGCAGAAAACAGTGATGCAGTGATTGAGACGATCATCTGCTTGAAAGAAAAATCACTGCAGAGAAGTGGAGGAAAACAACTAGGATGCAAGTTCTGCAAAACTTGAAGTATGCAACTCACACCTCATGAAAAGTATTATCCCCTTGCAAAGGTCTTAAAGAGTACAACTGCCAAAATCTATTGGTCAACAGCAGATTTCTCCGGTTGAATATGTGTTCATGTTTTGTTACAGTTTCAACTATTCACTAACTACAGTAACATAAAAGCATAATGAGAAACCTGTACTAGCTGCCCAATTGTACAGCTGTGATAAAGAGCTATATAGCAATACAGTGTTTGAAATGGCATTAATCAGTCTTTTAGCCAATCAGTTAATGAAAACTTTTGTCTTCTGCTGCACCAAAAAAAAAAAACTAAAAAAAAAACGTCCTTCAAATGATAAAAACGTGCTGCACAACAGATGACAAGTTCATGCTGACAACTATAAGCCACTTAGTAGGTAAGCTTATCATCCTTATCTCCAGCTTGCTGTTTTGCAGGTAGGAGTCTGTATTACAGACAAAGTGTGATTGGGTGCCCTCTGGAAGGTGAAATGGGGAGCAGGCAGTCACAGCCTTGCTTTAAGTACCTGCCTTAAGAGGTTGAGGCCATTGGAGAGACTCGTGGCACTTCTCCAGATACATGGCTCAACTAGATTTAGGTATCTGACTTTGCATGAGAAAAAGCATTTATAGCATTTGAATTTACTTTTTGTCTTGAAGTCTGCAAAAGTCACAATAGACTCCTAAAGGGTTCTGTGCTTTTTTAGTAAAAATGCCAAGCAAAGAATGCTTCAACATCTTGACGTACAGCCATCACATCCATATTCCTAGTATTCAATTTAACTTCTCCTGAACTTGAAATGGGTGCAGAAGGAAAAACACTGTGTTGCAGTCCATAGGAGACTATCTTTCTTCCTTAATGCCTGCTTCTGTTCACCTGCCCACATCACCAAGACCCTTCCTAAAAAAAATCATCCCCTGGCAAAAAAAGCAACCATTTGAAAGACAATATACACACCTGAAAAGCTAGTAAAGATAAAACTGACTGGATTCCAACACTCAGAGCAAGAAATGACTGGTGTTTAGGAATAATTAATTCCAAATGTACTACTGTATTTTTCACAAGTTACCAGCCTGTACAACTAGGTTAGCCCACTAGGATGAACATGGCTCACCAAATCAAGCAGATACTCATGTTCACGCAAATCTGGAACTTAGTTAAGACACAAATAATGACATTGACCAGACAACACAACAAAAAGTCCATTAAAAAATTGTTTTTTAAAACAATTTTATGGATGGAAATGGGACAGAACTCATTCTCAGTAGAGGACAAAAAAAAATCCCTACCAAGTACTTTGCTGTAAAGCTCTTTGCACAAGTTACACAAGAGACATTCTTTAATAAAACTTTTAAGCTCAATGCTTCAATCTCATAAGTCCTCAGAACAGAGGCAGCAATTCAGCTATGTTAATTTTTAAAATCTTGATGGTTTATCATTTTTCAGACTTGTAAACACCAAAAATGTACACTGAAATGAAGCAATCTTTGAGAAATAACTGGACACAAAAAGTCAATAAACAGACAATATGAAAAACAGCCACACCTCTTTCATAAAATAACCAGAAATGGTAATAAAATAACCAGAAACTGTAATAAAGTAACTGCTCGAAAGCTTCATGCAATATGTTCTTAGACATTCAAGAACTACTACGAAAAAAGAAAGAACAAAATAATGACAAAATGGTCTAACGCAAATAAAAGGTCACACATGATTTTGCATGCACTATGGAGTGATGTATTCTTTCAATAGTTGTACCTCATTTACTAAAAACCTGACAGAAGCACTGCTTTTATCATTTGCTAAAGCAGAATTGTTTAGGTAAGTTTTCTTGTTTTAAAGAACAAGAATTATTTGTTCTCACAGGAAAAAATGTTCAACCATTTATTTACTTGTCACATTTGAAGTCTTTCCACTACCACTTAGATGAAGTACAGAAAACGACTTCAGGAGCTTTTTTTTATGTGCAAAGTAATACATCAGTATAGAACATTCTTTCTTGCTGCTCTTTTAATGCCCTTTTTCTTCAAAACTGTACCTCTGTCTGGAGAATTTAGTAATGTTGCAGATGAGGAGGAGAGCCGCTTGTTTATGACTGGATCAACATGTTTCGAAAGGTTCATTGTTGAAACAGACCGCCTGTCTCGATCTAAAACAAATGGAGATAATGCTAATTGACAGCCCGCATGCAATAGTGCAAGTTCCTAGCTCACTAGTGGGAGGAGGAAAACAGGACTAGGTCACTCCTGCTCTACCACAAGAACTTCCAAAGTAGAATGGATTTATCAGCAGACGTTGTACAGGTGACTCAAAGACTGGGCACAACACAGTTTAAGCTTCAAGTGTGTAAAATATTCTGTTCATTATCACTCAATGGGTTGCAATCTAAAGACTTTCAATATTGTCAGAAAATCTTTGCTCATGACTCATAACAGAAAGCTTCAGGGAAGGACCAAGATGCTCAGAAACTAAAAGCTATTCACTAAAAAAAACTCCCTGGTATCTGAATCAAAGGTGACTGGGCACTGTTACTAGGCAGATGGTCAATAATACCATGCTGAAAGTTTAAGGGAAGACTAGTGCACAGAGGAAGTGAGGGTAAGCACAAAAGAAATTAAAATACTAAGTTAAAAATCCCACAGTTGTGTGTAAGTGCTAAACCACCCACCATAGAGTTATTTTCAGCATGCTGAGAATGAAGTTGTAGTGAGTCAATCCAACTCAGCACACACCTTAGCAGATTACAAAAAATCAGCCTCTGCAGAAAGTACTTGTAATGCACCTACTTGGCATACATAACATGAAAAATTTATAATCTGATTTTAGTTTCTCTACATTTTAGAGCAGTATTACATCATTTGCACAGCTGCTGCAGTCAGCCTCCGTGCCCTGCTGCGGGGGTGAAGGTTACTTCAAGAACAGAGACTGCACACACCTTGTGCATATGTGTCTCAAAGGAAGTTTGCTGTGTCCTTCCTTTCCTCTCTCAAAAATAAACAAAACAACAATCCCAAACAAAAAGAGCTCCACGCTCCATGCATTGACTACACATTCCCCATTACAAATTTTCATCTGAAAATCTGACACCCAAAAGATGCTGTGAGAATCAATTCTGCTTTTGCTTATGTTTTGGCATGTACTGAACCTCAGCACTACTCAGCAAAGCACTCAACCATGCTGAAATGCAATGAGGCTTGAGCATATGCCTAACTGCTCTGCTGATTCATATTCTGTGTGTGAAAAAATGTGACTGTACACTGTTTTCAAAGCAGATACAAACTCAGGACAATGACAGCATTAAGGATACTGCTGCTGAAGTATTATTTGCCATTGTTTATTTAGGACAAGTGTATTAACAGTGTATTCACCTGTTCTGTCCCAACAGATTAAATTATACTCCCTGTGTACAAAAAATTTAATAGAGTATATGAAAAATACCTTAACTCTCCCCCAGATCTATGAACCAAATAGGATTCACTATAATTGGCTGGACTGAAGAAAGATTCTCCCTACCCCTCGTGATTATTTGCAAACTTTAACGTTGGAATGACTTGGTGAGGGCAGAGAACTGGCGGACTGGACACTGGCAGGGGAATAAAACTCTGAAATGAGTTTTAAAAAGGAGAAATCCAAATGTTACAGCGAAGAACAAGACCTCTGTAGGTTGGCAAGATGATCCCAAATTGATCTATGGGGTAAACTAGAGAATGCCCTGTTCAAGTCGCTACTGGAGACAGGATGCTCAGGCTTCCTGAGACCAGAATGATATTTGTGGGAACGGGATAAGGGATTTTGATCTCACGTCTAATCTTCCACTGAGAGACGACTCAACATCAGTACAGGTTTCTACACCTGGCAGAAAGGATGTACTGCATAAACTGGCTTTCTGATGATGACAAATGACAATATTGAAAATCACCTCTGCTGTTAGGCATGACAGCATTTCTTGTGTCAATGAACCTTATTTAAATGAATGGCATTCAGCATAAGGATTTGCATACAAGTGTTGGCAGTACGAATCCTATAAATGTAGAATAGGCCAAATGCAATCCATTGCCTGGGAAATTGCTGCTTTCTTTATCCAAAAAAAAAAAAAAAAAAAAAAAAAAAAAAAAAAAAAAAAAAAAAAGAAACAACAAAAAAAAGGAATTAAAATACCCATGAGCAATGAAACAGCCAGCGCAGCTGGTTATGTGTCTGTGTTCATGTGCAAAATAATTGTAAATCCTATGTGCAGTATGCCAAAAAGGTTTCAGAAAATAACAAAATATTCAAATTTGCTCTCCTTGAATTCCAGTAGATAGAATATTATGCTTCATTTCAGTGAATTGTGCCAAATCTTTCGAGTCAGCCAGCAGTAACTCTCCACCATAGAAATAAATAATAATGAAATATCTGGTACTAACAACAGTTCTAATCTATCAGCATGGTGTTAAGCATGCATTGCAACTACATGAGGGTGGTTTAGTTACTGATGATCTCACTTCCTGAGAACTAGCTATGGGTAAAGGAATAACAAAACACAGCATTATGTACCAGGTTTTCTAGCACCACCCAGAGATTTGAAGTGGTGCTCCAGGCCTGCTAAATCGAGAAAGGTGAATGATGATTCAAAAAAATAACCTAGGGACAGAATGCAAGACAATGATTTTTCACAGAAAATCAAATAAAAATCAAATAAGCTATACAAAGTTAAGCAAAAAAGTAACCTTTTATGAAAAATAACTGTTTATTGAATTTAAATATGACAAAGATTTCAGACCATTCTTTTCTCAACTTTTTTTTCCCCTCCCCTGATGAGAGGTTAGACGCATTGAAATTAGAATAGGAAGAAAAGAACTTTAAGGATCACTTTCTGTTCAAAGAAGTAAAAGAAAAGTTCTCTTTTGGGGGGCTTGATTCACACTGAATAGGGCATATACACATTAATGACTGGCAAATTAAGTTGGAGAAGATAATTGAGGAAAAAAGCATATAGCTAAAATCCACTTAATTTTCCAATCTTTAAGTCTCTTTAGGGGAAGAAAAGGTACTTATATTTCTCCAAATTTCAGTACAAGGCACAGACTACTTATTACAAAGAACAATTTTCCTTCCTTGTGTCTACTTTAACCTCAGTATTTGGTCATTTCCACCAGACCTGCTTTTAGAGGCACACAGCTAGCATTTGCCACAGTAGCTCGTATCACAAGATTGACACAGCACAAGCACACCCACACATACACACAGGAACCACAGCAAAGCAGCAGAAGCGAGAAGCTGTAGCAAGGTAGGTACAGAATAAATCAACTCCAGAAACAAGCTGTAACTTCTGTTCAGAATTCTTTCTGCTTGTTACCTTTTTGCTACAAGAGAATGTCACAAACATGCTGCTGCTAGCAATAATAGGACGAAGAGCAAAGAATTCAAACTAAGATACAGCAAATCATCCTGCCTTTCAGAAGAAGAAAAGTAAACTCCAGTTGACTGGTGGGGAAGGGAAAGTGCCGATCAAAGCAAGCCTCCCTCTTTACCTGCGTTGTTAATGCGGTTGTGTAGTGCTCCTCCCCAGGACCACCTGTTTTGCCTTTGTTTTGGCTTCTGGCTTCTTTCAATTGTGCGACGTACAACAGCTTCATGTCGTTCCTTGAGTACAACAGGACAATACATTTGGATACTACTGGATTTTTAACTTTATTTTCTCATCAAACCCTGCTACCCTCCATCCACATGGACAAAAACAAGTAGGTGTCTTACAATTGTGTTTAAGCTTATGTGCTGCCTACTAAGACACGCAGACCAGAACAAAATTAAGTGGCAAGTAAGCCATAAATAAGTTAGAATGTTAACTTAAAATTTGAAAAGGTAAAATCAGTTTAATTTGCCCTGCCTCTACACAAACACACCCTAGTGCTATGTCCCATCTACTAAACACTAGAAGAGTGGGAGAGATAGGAAACCAAATACCTACAAGGATTAGGTGACTTACATAGGATTACACTGCACACACTTCCCAGCTCAACTGGGACAAATCAGCCAAAAGCATATTTCATTACACATTCATTTTTGTAAAGGTTTTCTTAGGGCAACTTGCATTTAACTACCTTTAAACTGAATGGCTAAGAATTAACAAATAACCATACAAACCTGACCCAATTTGTTTTTCTGCATGAATTTGAGCAGTGCCATACAAAGTAAAATGCTCAACTCCACTGCATTTGAGTCAGAATAAGAGAAAACAGAAGCAGTACCTGTGCAAGTAAGGCTTAAAATCCTTCCACACACTCTGTCATACTGACTGTGGCTCATATTCCGTTCTTTACATCAGCTCTTGGAGAAAAAGGTTAATAGTACTGCATCTTATGGCAAGAGAAGTTGAAAAGTGTTACCATGACATTCAATCTTACCTTATCTTCCTCTAGTTTCTGCCTTCGCTTTTCCTCTACGGCAGCTCGCCTTCTCTCTTCCTTTAGTCTCTGCTCTTCTAGCTTCTTTCTGCGTTCCTCTAGGTGTTTTTCATAATGTTGCCGTGCTCTCTCTTCTCGTTCTAGCCAGACGGATTCTCTTGCAGCTATGAGAAAAATTATAAATAGAAGTATTAACTTGATTTTTGCAACAAAATATTTATTACATTTTGAATAACCAAGATAAGTAGAAAACCTTTTGAACTCTCTCTCTTCAGGCACACATAATATCCTTATCTGTCCTCATGTATTAAAATATACCTTGACCACACACTGATTTAATTTAATCTCAATTTATTTATTATGACAGTTATTTGAGCATACAGTTTCTTCACAGAAGAAAGGATTTTTTGCTAGCTTATAATGCCTAAATACTGAAGTCAGATATATGTGAACAAACTCCTGTTACACAAACCATGATAATTCTCTGTACTATTTTACTGAAAAAAGATAATAAAAAGAAACTATAATAAAACATATAAAATATAATAAAATATAATAAAATATATTAATATAAATAAAATATAATAAAACTATCACAACTTCCACCTTTATTGATCAATACAAATCTCTTATGATAGAAGCAGCTGGGATGACAATTCTAGCACCTGGACCAACAGAAGGAAGGAACTTACCCACCAAAGAAGACTAAAGGTAAACATTAGTATGCCACATAATTCCACTTATGCACAGCTTCAAATAACGTGTTTCAGAAGAACTAATCAAGAAGACAAATTTTCCTTCCTATCAGGGTCTGAATTTTCATGAATTTTGTGGAATGCAGGCTCAGACTGCAGTCCACATGAAACTATTGATATGATGAAACCATTTCACCTGCATGCTGAAAGCCTCAATTCCATAGGAACAATTACATTAAAGCTGGAAAGTACAAACAAAAGTCACAGCCCGATCCATTTTCTATTCCATTCCTTAGTACAATCAATACATTTCATCACAGCCATGTGATAGAAGGACACAAAATTAGAGCATAAAAACAAGATTTAGAAATTGAGCCCTAGACATGCTGTTAAATACCTTCTGCTTGTTTGCAAACTAGTAATGCTGGATTGGATTACAAAGTGACATAATTAAGGCTGTGTTTCTGACACTTCTGAAGTGAGTAACAGAGCAAGAGAAAACAAGGTCCATCAAGAAAGAGACAGTCCAATATTAAGAGACACATCAGACTTGAAACCAATTAATTTCACACTGGAATTAACTAATGTAGTGTGTTAACTAACTACAGACCATGAATGTTTCTTGTTAGGAAATAATTTTTGTTGTTTCTTTCCCCAACCCCCCCCCCCCCCAACTATTCTTTGCAGGGGTTTTAGGCTGTGAGGGAAGGAGGAGCATGCCCTAAGTGTCAAAGCCTTTATTTTTTGTTTATTGATGTGAAGCAAAGAATGTGCCCCCAGATTTTCTGTCCCTTCTTCTGTCTCTTCAGTCCTATTTCTTTTGGTTTACTGCCTACAGAAAGGCAGGTCAGTCCAGCACCATGCTTTCTCATCTGCCTTTTGAACCCACCTCAGATGGACATCTTACCTGAGCCAAAATCCTATAGATTTTGTCACACTTTGCAGCCTTTATCTTTTCTGACTTTACAGCACTGACCTCAGCAAGGGCTTTCTCCTCTGACCGCTCTTTCACCTTTGCTCACTGCCAGCTCTGCACTGAGGCTGGGGTTGCCCCTTGCTGCATTAGCAGTAAAATGGATCGGTGATGCTTTAACCATACCTAAAAATGGGACATTACACAGAAGTGGCTGACTGAACGAATTAGAAGGTGAACTTCAGAGCTGTAATTAAAGGTGAAGTTAATGTGAGATTCTCTAAGGCAACCTTTCCCCAGTAACCATGTTCTGAGGGACATTTATCACGGAAATTTTTCAACTAGTCTTCCTAAAAATTGTTTTCTTGTCTTATAAGCCCTTTTAACATTCAAATTCTCCAAGGAGATCCCAAAATTATTCATATGCTAGGGTCAATGATTTCTAGATTCTATGGAGCTTTTTTCTGTTGGATAAAGTTCTGCCCCCAAGTGCCAGGGAAGAAAATAGACCAGAAGGAATTTACTCACAGAAAAAAATAGTAATTTTCATTAATGTTATTAATTTGCCAATGATCACTTTCAAATGGGAGAGGACTCTGCATGATAATGTGATCTTTAAAATACTATTTCAATGCTGATGCATTGTAAGTATTAAGAGTTTAATGAATTTAGCCAACCTGAAACTCAGACATATTCTGAGAACTAAGATTAATCACTCTTCATTTAAGGAAGTGTGCTAAGTCAAAAAGCAGTATTACCATCTTTTGTTCCCAACACCAGAAACTAAATGAATCATGTGTCCTTGTCAGGATCATAATTCTGATTTAAAAAAGATCAGTCTTCAAGCAGGATTAGTGTAGATAAAACATGCACAGAAGTGAGACTTAAAACAGTGTTCTCAAGGATCAGGGACCAAGATACTGCTAAGTAATAAAAAGGAAATTCTTCGTTTTTTGGTAAGTCACTGCCTAAGGCTACCAGAATGAAACCCATTTTAAAATCCCAGTCATTTTGCCTGTTGAAAATCACATTTTGATTTTTTCAGTGAGGGAGGATCTGGTCTATGTTCTGGAACCAAACACTGTCATGGAGCAACTATTACCTCTGCTACTAAATTTCTACCCTCCAAAATGGTGACAACACCTAATCAGTACATGCAGAAAAGCCCATGGACCTTCCTTGCCAATTCCCAAACCTTGTCTGGGAAGCAGCAAGCAGACAGCTAGTTGCATGGAGCCAACACCCTGCCAGGATCCATTATAACAGCTTTAGAGCAGGAATAATTAAGTTTTAGCACCAGGGAATGCTCATCAGTGCTGTTAATTTGGCAGTACAGATACAATCATATGGCAGATAAGGGTAAAGTCTGCATGATGAAAAAGCAGCAGTTTTAAGTAATGTTTTTCAGTTTGACCAGGCCATCTACCATGGTTGCCTTCATTAAGAGTGCGACAGTTCCCTTCTCCCTGGCCTCTGGGAACAGACCCACTTGACAGCTATCACCTTCACCTACCACTGCCTCTCTTGGGATTTCTGTCTTGCACAGTCCAAGAGGGTTAGTCTCACATAGAGAGAGAGATCTGCTATCTGTATTTTAAAGGACAGATACTAACTTTTACATGTAAGTGCTGTGGGAAAGAGCACTAGGACTGGGAGCATTACATAGAAAGTCCAGTAAGATCACCCTAATAATCCTTTAAAGGTCTGAATATGCATATTGACAACACACACATGACCAAATGATCAAGAAAATAAAAAAATTGAAGCAAAAGTCTCCCCTGAAATAGATACAACTGTAGTCATGCAAAATGAACTGCACAGAAAAAAGTTAAAGAATTCATATTTTATAATTGTTGGGATGGCATTTCAAAAGCAATGCCTTTCCTACAGTGAAGGAACTGAAACAACCTTCTTGACGGTGCGATTTGCTGTTTGTGTCCTTGTGTATCTTCTATGTTATTTAAAGAAGGGTCCAAAACAAAGCATGAATATACTAAAGGTGATAGGGGCATTTTCATAGAAGCTTCTTTAATCTTTTCAAATTAGGTGGCTCAACATGATCCTCAGGAAATAGCAGATACCAGCAGACCCAGCACATGTATGCTATACACATCCAGACAACAAAAATTACAGCGTTTCCTACTCTCTAAACTCTCATTAAAAACAAGACTTAGACACCCAAACGTGCTAAGTAGGATAAGACTGCTAAAATACTATTTCCAGGTGCAAGCAAATTGGCAAGAGTTGAGCACACACCAACCCACTTTACCACAGGAAAGCCAAATCTATCACAGCACAGTGGAAATAGAAAAAAATTAAAACTTGAGAGTAAAAAAAAAAGAGGGGGGAAGAAAAATGGTCTTAAATGAACTCTCCTTTAACATCAGAATATTGCCCAATGAAGAAATATAATCCTTATTAAACTGGTACTCCACATGTTCTTAACAGAAGGGTCAAACAACTTAATTTTCCTGGAAAGACTGATAACATGACCTCCAGGAGTTCAAGTTGCTGAAAGTACAACACAAAATTACTACCAGCTCTGTATCTGAAGAATTGAACACTGTCCTTTCCTTTCTTTAAGAGCAAAAAATAATTTTACTTGAGGTAGGACTGAAATTCTCAACTTCTGTTTAAATAAAAGTTTTTGCTAAACCTAACAGATCCCCTGAATCAAAAGGAAAGGAATTAAGTTTAAATCCAACCTAATTCTATTGAAAAAAAAAAAAAAATTCCCTCCTTCAGTTCTTTACTGTTGCATGGCTGATGTCCCAGTATTAACAAAATCCAACTTTAATTTTTAGCAAGACACATTTATGTAACAATATTATACAACTTAATGGTTAAGAGAGACAGCTTAGGAATTTCTCTGCTGTGGTTCACACCGCATGAGTGACTGATTATCTAGGTTCTGCACTGAAAAAAAGAGAAAATAAAGTTGTATGCTGTTGTAAAAATCATTGCTTTGCTGTACTGGAAAACAAATCTCAAATCTCTCCCAAATCATAGCAGACAAACATACAGATGAAAGTAAAATGTGACTTTCAATTTTCTTGTTAGTTCAAAATCATTCTTCAAGCATGAACACACAATACTCTCAATACATCAAAAGGACTGCAGAACTCTCCCACTTGGAAATAAAGGATTCCACATCAACTTATAAAAACTCCTGATGTTGCTTTTAAAACACATCACACAAAATGACACATTTCTTCTCAACATTAGTCATGTCCTTCTGGTAACAAATACTCATTTATCAATAGCAAAAAAAATCAGAGTTAAGCTAAATTCAGGGAAAGCATCTCTCTCTGCATTTGAGTACAGCATTGTTATTGTACAAGGATGAAACCTGAGGAAAAAAACCAAATTCAAGACATGGAATCATCGTCTGTAAAAAATTAATTAAAATGGGCCAGTAACATCCATTTTCTCAGAAACTTGAAGAAACTAAGCCTACACATACCATCAACCTCAACTCAAGGACCAGCTTTTCAGGGATTATCAAACATCCTGTCATGTTACCCCCTTGAGCAAGCCAAAACTAAAGCTTTCCTTTTCCCCTCCAAAACAATCCCAGTGATTCATACATGGCTGCAGCAATGTTTTAAGGTCTGTAAAGAAGGGAGGATATAAATGCTGTCAAAACCTAGGTTACAATTAATCATGGCTCTTCAGGTTAGAAAAAGCAGCATAATTCTGGCTGGAATTATAGTTCAATAAACTTTCAGAAATTAGAAATGGGAAATAAAGAACTTCTGTTTTTCAATCTCTAAGAACAACTCAGCATTGAAAGAAATCAGAGTAAACATACAGAAAAGAGGAAATACTTATATTTCCCAACCTCACAATTACCACAGAACTTTGTGGCAGTCAAACATAATATTTCCCAACCTCACAATTACCACAGAACTTTGTGGCAGTCAAACATACAAACATTGTTCAGAAAGCCACCAATCTGGCTTCACATAATTCTTAATTTTTTCACCACCATACATAGTACACTGCCCATCAGTAGTCACTTGTTAAGCAGCCTTCACTAGTTACTTCAACTGTGTCATACACATGCAGGCCCAGGTGATGCAAGATACTGAGCACACCTATTTGACACCTACTAAAGGTTTGATCTTAAAAAAAGTACCCCAAGTTTACATTAAAAAAATTCAAACCATACATTGGGAACATATTCTTCAATTCTATTTTATGGTGTTCAGCATTTTAATCTTAATTGGTAAAATGTTCTAAAACTTCAAAATTCCATTTACATCAGCAAAGCTCTCTTACATGATTTCAGAATTAAACCTACTTTCATTCACATTCATAGAACAGGTGAGAGACATAGTACTGATGAACTAAAAGATCTTTAAAGATATGGTAGTGTATCTAAAAATGGCACTATTGCATATCTAGAACTATCATTTTGCTGGCTGCCCCTAAAAGTAAACCGGCAAGAACAGTGCATGCAAACCACAGTCCATTAAAAACAAACAAACAAAAATCAGAGGGCCTTTACCTAGCTGTTTTTCTCGCTCTTCTCTCCGTTCTCTGGCAAGCCGTTGCCTGTCATCAACCTTTAGTACTGTTGGATGATCTACAAATGGAAAAAGAGGAATATTAGGCACATAGCATAGAATCAAATACCACCACCAAACCCAAACTTTTGGGAAAATAGCTGTTAAAGAACTCTGATTGTTCTTTCAAAATAGATTATGTTTTCAGAAATCCATCTTATTTTGAAAAACCCAGAAAACTGATCATTAGAATGCATTCATATTTTTTAATATGTAAAATACTTCCAAAGAACAGACTAAGAAGCAAGACTACTTCTTGTGAAAGCCCAGGAAGAAGCTTTATTTTGTTTCCAAGCCTGAAACAACTGAACAGCTAGAGAGTATTCTGAAAAAATATTGTTTATTATTCCATAATATCTCTCCAAAATGCATCCAAGGGAAAGTCTATTATAATCAAGCATTGCCTTCCCCTTGATATTGCCTCAGAACAGCCAATAAGCCCAACAGCATGACACAAGAACCTCAGCACCCAGGCAAAACAGACTGGATCAAAACACTGATGTCGCTGAGTTGTTCTAAAGTAGTTCTGGCTGAGCCTCTGGAAACAGCATGATATTGATTTCAAAAGATGTTTCTGTGCACATATGTTAAAAACTCTGGCAAATATATTAAAGGCAGTGAGGCATCACATGCATGGACTTTATAACATGTCAAGTAAGATCAGAGCTTTAACTATTCTTGTAAATTGAAATTTAGCTACATGAGTACTTCACAGCTATCTGCAATTGGATCACAGCAGTAAGACGGAGGATAATATGGAAGACCTGTGTCAGAGCCCAGGTTTGACTTTAACATTCAGGTTTGGTTGGAAAACATCACTTGCTCAATGATGGTTCTGGAAGACAGCAAAGTGCTGAACAGCTAGCATCCGACTTCCAGTCTCAGCAATGGAGCTGTTCCAGACAAAGGGAACAAAATCCAAGTTAGCAATTCATCTCAGCATGCTGCCAAAACTAATTTCCTACTCAGCCTGTTCTGTTAAACCTGGAAAGCTCTTAATTTTGTGCTTTTTTTTCAGTAGCAGTGAAAAGGTCTGCTTTGCATAAAAACACAATAAATAAAAAACCCACAGAAAAATAAAAAAGATTTCTGGGTATAAATAAATGCTCTGATTTAGTTTAGTATTGAGGGGAACTCAGTTTTTAAGTGTTTTAGGATAAAGAACCACCTAGAATGCTGTCATTGTGAAAGCTCACAGGACAGCAGAGCCTTTCCACTAACATGTAAGCAGCTTGTAAAAACATGTTGAGACAGCCTACTCGTGTACAGGCTGCATACCTATGAAAAAGTTATTAGCAAACTTTTGGGTCCTAAATCTGAGGGTAAATATATTTGCAAAATAAGTCCCTGAAGTGAGGCTGTGCTAGGCTAATTTTGAATAGTTATTTGAATTAGGTTAAAAAAAATAATAATAATGTGCATTTCATCGTCCAACAGAGGATTCTGCATAAGCATGACAGGATTTCTTGGGCGAACCAGCTCACCAACAGCTATGTACACTTTAATTACTCTTGAACTCCAGTCAGTGAAAAACTATTATCTCAACAACTGTCAGACTAGAGCCCCAATTAAGAGTGTTAATAGCAAGGCAAAGTATCAGCTGCAAGGAGAAAACCCATTGCACAGCTGGCAGGGAGAACCTTCAAACACGACAGCCCCAATGAAAGGCGCAGCAAGCGAAAAAGTCACCAGCAAAGACAGAGGTAATCCATCCCCCAGTTGCAGGTCAGAGAACTTTCATGTTGGCTGACTAGCTCACAGTGCTGCCATTCACAACACTACGCTCAGCCACGCCATGGCAGAGATTTGCCCACTACAGGGTGTGCATCTGCACTTGGCTGATGTTCAGCAGCGCGCTGACTCACACGCAGCCCCTTTAGCACACAGACACAGGTCAAAAGGGTAATAATATTCCTTCCCTCTGGTGACTGGCACACAAGATTCACAAAACATGAATTTCTGTGGCATGAGTAATTAGTGCTTGCGGAATAATGCACATTTTCCCTGGAAAACAAGGATTCCCTTCAAGGGCTGTCAGCAGAGTCAATGTAACATTGAGTTGACAGAAGATGATGAGACACTGGGGGAAAATGTAAAAACCTGCTTCTTTCAGAACATCCTTCCAGTTGGATTTTTTTTTCCCTTTCTTGAGAAGAGAGATTTCCCTATTGGGGAGAGGCAACAATTCTTCAAAGAGGCAGGAGGGTTACATGGACAGGCAAACTGAAAAGGTCTCCCTTAAGAATTCCTAATTATAAGCAATGGAAGGAATGAAATAAATTTTTTAAGTTGCCCTCTGCCACTCTGTTCAAAGATATCCAATTATTTTTTCCATATCACACACCTGATAGTGTTCACACAAGAACAGCCCCTCTCCCAGCACCCCAGGATGTTAGAACAATCCTAAAGAATTCACATTAAGTTGCAGACTATGCAGAGTGTGTGTCTTCAGTAACAAGCAATTTTGCATACATTTGGGATCGCAAAGAGCTAAATCAATATTAGCACAAAGATGAGGGTAACACCTTTGTAGCAGACCATCATTGCATTTGCTCTGCTAGAAGCTGGAGCGCATACTATGGGTATAAGTCTTACACTGATAATTAAAATGTCTTCTCTAAGTCTTCAAAATGATCCTTCATAGTTTGGCTACAACCCCAAGCTCCAACATTTGCATTGATTCCAGATGTTCTGCTGGCACCCCCAGTGCAGAGCATCAATAGCTTCAAACTGTGGCAAAACAAGAGAGCTCACTGGGACTGCTCCCCATTTTATTTCTCATGTCCCTATTCTTTAAAAATCCCCCAGCAAATACCTGGGGGATTGACATTTCTTCTCATTCAGTAGGAATACCAGGACAAACAAATGTACTCTCTTCTGCTCATATTTGTCATCAGAACATAAGCTTTAAGCTACTGTGAAAGGAAGTGGGAAACATGTCAGCTGCAATGAATCCTGCAAGAATTTCTCATTTTATAGAGAAATAATTGCCAACTGGGCATATGCAAAGCCTAAGAGACAGCACTCCAGGAAGGCCCACATGCTACTTTGGAAGTTGCAGTCTGGTTATGCTGCAATATGTGGGAACTCTCACGCAACAACCTACTTCCTTTCACTTATGTAACAGGCATGGAATTAAGCATTTGTATGATAGGGATATTTGGAGAATAAATAAGACATAGCTCTACACAGGATAAATTAATTTTGTACCTGCTGCTGGAAATTGAGCCTCTAAATTGCATATAAAAACAGTATATGTCCATATATTTAGAACATTTAGTGCATGTTCAGAATTCATTTTAATAAGTTAAAATGGTTAATTTTGAAATCTTGGAAGTTGTGAACAGCGTTTTTCAGAAATTCAGCACTGAAACATCAACAGCTTTTTGTCCCTAATGATGGTAACAATACGAAGAAACAAGTTTTAAAGTCTTCTATAGAACTAAGACTCTACAAACTCTTAAGTAAAATTGATATTTGTAGAAATTAAGTTCCTAAATTAACAATTGTCATATATACTTTGTAAATGTGACCAGATTTTATGGCTCATGCTATCAGCTCCACTCTGCCTTCCCTCGCTCCAGCCCTAAGAATTTTGGATTCCTTTCTACACACCAGCATAAATGAAGGGAACATTGGAACAGCTAGGACATGCTCCTGAGCAATGAAAACTGGATTAGACTATTGCAGAATAAAGCAAGCATTGAACCCTGTCCAACACAAAGAGTTGTGGAAAGAGGTAACATAACCTCTATTTTCTCCTCCTTTTCCCACTGCCCATCTGACTGAGAGCAGCTGTGATTGCTGTGCTTTGTGGAGGACCCAGCGTGCCTGGCAGAGAAGGCATGGGGTGATCTGAACGCAGACAGTGCTGGGGTTCCTCCCCTCTGGGGACACAGACCAAAGGCACCCTGTTTGGGGATTGGGAAGTGTCTGCCAGTACAAAACATCCCTGAGCTGCCAAGCTGTCAAGGATTTGGAAAGGGGGATGATGTTACAGTGGGCACAGTCCTCAGCAACACAAGCACCTCTGCTTTCCCAGGCATCTAAGCAAAATCACTATTAACTGCACACTTTAATCTGGGGTACCTGAATTGCAACACAAGCAGATTTTAGATATCTAAGTCCTGTTCTGGATCTTGGTCTAAGCACACAAGTGGAACAGACCCATGACACCAAGGACTTCATTAAGCTTTTTAGTACATACACTTTCAACTGTGTAAGTGAATTAAATCCACACAATGTACCCATGAGGTGTGGTGAAGTAATGAGAAACATCTGCCCACTGTCTAGAGCGTGTTAGAGAATATGGCATGCTTTGTGGTGAGGAAACGCCTGAATTGAGGCACATTTATATAAAGCTGCAAATCTTTACCTAGAGAACATAATTCCTGTTCAAGCACAGATGCAAATACAGTGGCTTCTGTATTGTCTTTTCTCACTTCCCAACCCTCATTCCTAAGCTATTCTAAAATATAAGTAGATTTTTCCAGTTTCGCTTCTTTGCAAACAATCACACATTCCAGCCTATCTAAACACGAACAACCACTGATATCAGTTTTGTCTGAAACAGTAAGTGAGGTACAAAAGCAACAAACTTTAGTAGTTCCTGTGGCAACAGCTGTTTTCCATACACCATTGAGGCAAACAGCCTTAAAACATGGAGCATGTGGAATGGTGTACCTGGTTTAGTTCCAGCGTTGCTTTGTCCTGAAGTGACTTTCTTATCTTGCGTTTCAGAACCTTCTGTTGCTAAAATAAGGAAGAAAAGAAGATATTAAATAACCATTTTACTTAGTAATAGGTCACTCACCTTCTTATAATGAAACTTAAATATTGCTGGACTCCCTTTAAAATCAGAGTGTTCCAAGATCTCACCTTAATGCCATTCTACATCATTTTGCATAGAAAAAAACCCCAAATACTACACAGAAAGTATTTAAGCCACAAGTTCCCAATTCAAGTTCAGGAGAGAGCCACAAGATTTCATTTTAACAGTGTGTTTTAATAAGACTTATAAGATGACTTGCAGAACACACCCATAATGCAGGACTGAAGAGAAGACTATTAATGACCCAAATGAAATCTATCCAAGGAGATATTCTGATTATTTGCAACAGACTTTTGATCAGGCCCTACCAACCTAGAACAACAACTAATTCCGGAGCTCTGAATGCCCTTTCAACAACCCTTTATAAAGAAAAAAAAACAAACCAGAAGATTCATTACTATTATTCAAATCAAAACCATATCCTTGGTTCAGCAGCTACTGCTAACTAAAAAACAAGCCAAGAAATTAGATGCCATGATTTTTTCATCTTACTACTCATCTTTGTATCCAGCAGTTCCACTACAGGAGTGATGGAGTGCAGAACACACCGATCTGGGAACAGCCTAAAGGCAGATTGTAAGAATTCTAAGAAGCCTTCCAAAAACTGCTTGAAAGTATTTGCAAGCAAGGATAAAAAGACAGTTATAAATAAAGCTTAGGGGATGAAAGACACCGATTCATTTGAACAAAAATATCACTAGAAATGAAAGTTGGAAAAAAACCCTGATTACTCCAGATTTAAAAGCTAAACAGGCATTACTGTATTAGATCCCCTTTAGGAAACATAATTAAAACAAATTTTCCTCAGAAGGCTCCAAGCAATTTCGTATGCATGTCAGCTTTAACAATACACAGTCAGCATTTAGTACCTCATTGAGATCACTCCCTTCATGGCCACGCACAAGTCTGTTTCCTTGCTTACCTCCTTCCACAGGCATGTTTCAGGATTAAATTAAAGGGGAAAAGGTAGCAGGAAGAACCTGCATATTACATGCACTATAGTTTTTTTTCAGGGGGAAGGTGCGTGAGGGAAATAGAAATATTTGTTATCAAATGTTTAGTGTTCAAGAGCAATGTTTTGCCAAGAACAGTATTCAAAAATCATATTGTCTCACCAAAAAAATTGTGTGAAACCTTAAATAAATGTCAGATACTCCTCTTCCTTGATGCCTGTATTAAGTCCTTTGCAATCAAAAGAAATAACCACTGTTGAACTTAACAAATACTGATTCCAAATGACAAGAAGAACTGTAACACCTTAAAAGCAGCTCAACACAAGATTTAAGTATTTGCCACTTTAAAGGATTCATACAAAAGATTAGTGTGACTTATGGGCAGATGGATTGATTTTTGCAAGATAATTTGAGCACCACTGAATGCTTGTACCACCAGGCTTGGTAGGATCTACCATTATGAAAATCCATACCTGGTGCTGGAGCAAGTCCAGAGAAAGCCAAGAGAGCTGGTGCAGTGTCTGGAGCAGAAGTGCTCTGAGGAGCAGGGGAGGGAGCTGGGTGTGTTTAGCCTGGAGAAAAGGAGGCTCAGGGGAATATCACTCTGCAACGTCCTGGAAGGAGCTTGTAACCAGGTGGGGGTCAGCTGCTTCTCCCAGAACTAGAAGCAACACCATGAGGACGAAATGGCCTCAGGTTGAACCAGGGGAGTTTTAGACTGGATATTAGGAAAATATTCTTCAGAGTACTCAGGCATTGGAACAGGCTGCCCAGGCAAGCGGCAGAATCACCATCTCTGGAAGTGTTCAAAAACATGGGGGGGATGTGGCACCCAGGGCCATGGTTTAGCGGTGAACACGGCAGTGCTCGTTTAACAGTTGGACTTCATTTTAGAGGTATTTTGCAACCTTAACCCTTCTGTGATTCTAAACTCTTTCTATCTTACCTCCCCCTCAAAGTTAAGGTACTAGTAGAACAAGCTTTTCTCCTGCATTTAACAACCATTTAGAACATTCTCAGAAGAAGTCCCACTGTAACTCAGTGGGACTTCATCACAATTCCCATCAGCCTGGCCTAGGGCATCATATAGAAGAGGAAACTGTCATAACATAGTAAAAATACTGTTTCTAAGAGTTAGTGAGTACACTGATGTTCTAATAGTGTCAGTACAAATTTCTTTAATTTTTCATACCGAGTATGTGCATTATTTTCTTCAAGCATTGTGCCATGGGATTATGCAACACTCCATTAACTTCAAAACAGTGGTTTAAATGCCATCCAGAAAATAGACTTTTAGGAAAGCCTAGGTACACAAAGTAATGCTTTTTCCCCGTATTTCCTTGCCTAACATTTCCTTGGAATATTTTTGGACACAGTTGAATACACACTCATATGACCACTCATATGACTAGTGATGAAAAGAACAGATGGCACACCATGAATTTTAACGATGCGGGATATCAAATAAGAATTGGCACAAGTATTTAGTAACCAGTGTAGGTGTGCTCCCAACTAAAATACATCTTGCTCTAGGTTACAAACAAATTAATCAGACAACTAAACATCTAAAATCCACATCTAAATACTGACAACACCAGTTTCAATACCTAATAGATGCTAGAAGAGATAATTTAACTACCTAATACTTGATCTGCTGCTTATCTTGAACCATTACCTTTACATAAGTGAATAAAAGTTGCATAAAGAAGTGTTAGAGATGGATAATTTTTTGTGAAGCACAGCTCTTCTCTCTCAGCTCTGCCATTATTATATGGCACAGCATCAAACAGAAAGCTACACTTCAGCTTCTCTGTGTGGAAAGAGGGGAAAAAATAGGGGGGGAAAGGCAAGAAGAGATCCCACAGCAAGGCTGAGGAGCTGGAAAGAAGGTGCTTAAGTTCTGATCTGTGGAAGAGGGGAAACAGCTACAAGACAGAGGCAGTTCTATTTCCAGGAGGTCTCTACACCCAGAAGTGTAAGCTTCAAGAGATTAAACGCAGTGTGAAGGAGCACTTGGGGACCACAAGCAACCAGTGCTGCTCAGAGCTGTGTCAAGGTCAGGATGTGCACAGCAGCCCCCACCCAGAACTGCATCCCCTGGAAAGGGGAGCTGTACAAGAGCTGCACAGCTGTGGATGAGAGCACAAGCACAGGAGAGCCCAACATGATAGCAGCCAGCCATGTGTGCCTGACAGTGCAGGTACACCTCTGGGTACAGGGTGCTCTGAGCACCACGGGGGAAAGACCACCCTCCAGCTCCCTGCTCTAACTCTACAAGTGAGAGAGAAATTACTGAGAGGCATAAGAAACAAAAGAAATAGCTAAATCAGAGGAGGAAGGATTACAGGGAAAAAAGAAGAAAAATCTGGCTATTCTGTACCTGCCACTTGTCATCTAATCCCCCTGGTATGACTGAACAGTTACTTTTTTTAGCTGTCAAAGAGTGCTGGGGGTGTGCCTTGAGAGATAGGGAAGGCATCAGAAATGACAGCTGGAACAAACTCATGCCTCAGTAAAAAAGCACTGCCGATACATAGCAGAGGAAATTCAGCATTAAACTGGGAAATTTAGAACCAAACTCACTGGGAACTGATATATTCTTTACTAGTCAGTATTGAATACTGCTACCTCCAGTTACTTCCTTATGAACATTGCTCAAAATCCACCCCCCAAAAAAACACCCCAAAAACAAACAAACAAACAAACCACCAAAAACCAAAACAACACACACAAAAAAAACCCAAAAAACAAACAAAAACCCAAACAAAAGCCCCAGTCTTAAATTCACTTTATTTTATACAGCATGTCACACCTGACATGCACAATGTAAAAAATTCACAGTTTGAATTACTCAGAATTAAGCAAAGAACACAGTATTCTACGTTAGTGTAAGTAAAAATGAAGAATTAGAGCTAGTCTAGGCAGTTTTGTCTGGACACTGGGAACAGTGGCTAGCTAGCATGTCAGTCAAGTCAGAGGTATTGCTATGCCGGGCAGAGTGTGTTGAAAGTGCAGATACAGGTCAGAGCTGACAGAATTTATTAGCTTAAATTCAGAAACACATTAAGACCAAACCCTGAGTACCTGGCTCAGAATAAGCATCTGATCATTCAGCAACTGGCTGTTCTGTTCTAAGATAACATCACTGAAATTTAAGACTAGGGAGTCTCTTTAATGGCAAAATTGGGTTGTTTATCCTACACAAGCAAAATCCTGTGAGGCATGGTCCAGGGGCTGAACACAGAGAAAAGCCGAGTTCAAGAGAAATTAAAGTTTTTCCACTGTTTGTGACTTTTGCCTCTTCTTACATCCATAGTTTATGAATAAGACATGCAAAAACTACTCTCCATATTTACAGTAAAAATATATTTTTCAAGTCTTCAGAATTTCATAATCTTTATCATATATATTGTCTATATATATATATGTATATATATATTTAGACAAACAATATACTAAGTAATATTTTAATGCAATTTATAGTTTTAGAGTTAACTAATGTTTTCAGTCCATTCTTGTACCCCATACTAATTATTTACTTGCATTTTAAAATTGTAAGCTTGGGAACAAAGTACAGCAATCTTTCCAGAGATAAATAGGTCTCAAAGTCCTATGGGTGGCCAAAATTTACCAAGATGCATGCAGTATAGCTGATTGATAAAAGGGTAAAAAATAAGCATCTGGATGTTTAATATTAAAATCTTCAAAGTTAGAACAAAATCATGATCTGTTTTCTTCTTTAGAGGTGTTGGAGAGGATAAGTTGTAAAGAATCCCATTTAAAAACTCACTCATTAGAGGCTAGTTTCCAAAATCCACTTGTCAATAATGACTCTGAACCTTCCCCTCAAGAAGAGTGGGGCGAGTATTGGCCTGGCAACATGTTACAGCACAGCTGGAGACAATATTTTCCGGTGCTTCTGCACTGTACTGAACACTGGACAGACCAAATTTTTTATGCTGCTGCTT